AGCCCATATGATTTAAATGAAAACACTTAGACATCTGTTTTGGTCCGTTTGTATTCTCATCCATTTTTTACGCTGTTGCATGCTCTATCCTGCATGTTGCTAGTATTTACCTTGACATTTTACACTTATTCGTAATTTCAACTGTACAACTAATATGACACAAGTAGGACTTCCTTACTGTCAATTTGGAATAACTTTTGAGTTAAGGATTTACTATAATCTATGAAATTACCCGCGTGATAATTTGCTTGTGCCAAATGGTCGTAAAAAGTTACAAGTCGAGTTACTCGTTCTGTATCAGTTCCTAAAAAGATATAAAGGATATTCAGAATCAATGGATGTTAGCTTTGATTTTTACTTATCTTTGCTATTGAATTAGTGTAGGTGTCAGCAAAGCTGGATTTTTGTAATTTTATTTTTTACTAAACTGTCGAAAAGAAATGGATGTTAATATAAAATAAGGAGATGTGGTAGAATTGTCTATGAGACAACTACCCACCAGAGCTAAAATGAAATGGTAGTTAGCAACTATACGCCACCGTACTGCCTTCAACAATGGGAAAACCCATACCGCAAAATCGGCTTGAAAAGGCCCCGACATGAAAATGTGAAACAATTCAAACGAGAAACGAACGGCCTACATTGTAACTTATATAACAAAACATTTTAAGAAAAACAAACATGACAGACACCAACCAACGACAATCACTGCATCACCTGACTTAGGACCGGCACATAAAGATGGTGGCGGGGTTAAACATGTTTGTGAGCGCTCAACCCTCCCATCCTGGGACAGTGGTGTAACAGCACAACATAAGAACAAACTGTAAAAATCAGTTGCAATTGGCTTAACTCAAAAGATCGGTAGGACGCAAAAAAAAAAAAGTAGTAACGTAAAATCAATAGACACCAAGTACCTATATAAGAGTACTTGCCCCTGATGAAAGCTAGCTCAAAGTCAGTTATATCTAACATATAACTCATGTTCTCCCAGACTTTAGTCTGTAGCCGGCTGTACTCTCCAAATGTAGAAGTACATGTAAAGGAATTACCACATTTCTTTAAACCAGTCAATCCAAGGAGTAAATTTAGGTATACAAGACAATGCAAGAAAAAGTAGTTCAAAATGAAAGCATTTGTCACGCTTCTGTTAAATAACTGAATGAAAAAAGCCCATTTAATTTTAGACAGCGAAACCATGGATGAGAAAATTAACGAACCAAAACAGATGTCTCAGCGTTTTCATATACAATATAAGTGTTGTGTTAAAAGTAAAACTTGACGAAAAAAGACATAGAAAGAATAGCAAAAAACAGATTGTTTGTTGTTTGTTATATGTCTAGATGTAAATATTTTATGCATATTTTGGGCATATTTAATTGCACAATAAGTATTTTCTAAACTTAGGTGGTATGGGATGAAACCAAGAAAATTTTAACAACAAGAAAATGAGACCATACAAAGTAGTATTATATTTACGTGCAATTTGTTATCCTATTGTGTTCGTAAAAATAGCTTTCTTCGTGTAAAATGTTGTATCAAATAACAACAGTTATAAATTTTGAGACAAAAAATTTTGAAACGGGTATAGGGTGACGATAATTTGAAAAAAAACAAAACAAATACAATTGTGATTTTAAACTATTTTTTTTATAGTAAAATATGATATTCGTCCGACAAAGCAGTATACCCCAGACTTTATTTTGTAGCATGTGTTGCCACTATGTTCATGTGCTCTTTATTAAAGGTTTAGTTGTTGGTATTTAACGTCATTTTTCAGCACCCTTGTCATCTAGTATATCATTTGGAGGGGAAAGGGAGGGGGGTGTTTCAATTGGTTGGGGAAGACAAAAAAGACATAATCTTGTAAACGATAAATTGACCCTCAATTTTGATAAAACGTATACATTTCTGATTTAAAAAAGAAATATGGTAGATGAACCAAACAAACATCAAAAGTGTATTCCATCTTTGCCAATATTAACAAAAATAAAAACAGGGTATCGGATTTAACGTACCTATTTTAAGCTAACAGGTTGCGCCTGATGAGTGCACATTTGATACCGGGTATATCCAGCACTTCAACAGACGACTATGCAATAATAATCTTTCGTTTACTATAATGCTTTTAATTGCTTGCATGAAGTGTACTTTGCTCCAGGTGCCTTATGGGTAATTCTATTGTTGTGGTGGTTGTCCATTGGATTATTATCATTTTCCAGTACATGAGGGTACACGGAGGTCTATTTAGTATAAAATTCGGTTTTGAACTTTGAAACTAGAATGCATTCACTATAAACGCGGTAAAGGTTCAGCAAGTCTGACAACTAATTTCTGAGTCTTTGAAATTGTTCGTTATTTAAATGGGAAGATAAATTAATTATATGGCATCATTTTTTCTCCTTTGCAAATAATTTGAAACTTAAACAAATACTTCCGTCTCATTAATAAGTCTGATTTTATTCACGGTATTATTTATTTCTCGTTTGTATCTATTTTATTACTTGAAAAAAATATTATGATTTTCAAACAATATGCTTTTCTTTTATCTATATTCAAGTATGATTGGATGTATGGAATGAAGCAATTTTGAAAATGCATTTAAATGTATGAAGTGCACCGAAGAGTAATGCGCATAACGAGTTCATAATTATATTTCGAATAATGCAAACAAAAATTTGTTTTATCTTTTATACTGTATTGCATATTGTAGAAAAATAATCGACATTATTGAAACAAAAAAATATGGAAGAATATAAATCACCATTTGCTTATTTTCCCACTATACAAATGCATTACTGGTATAGCTTTCAATTGGTGATATCATCTTGATTGCTTATAAATGATATATTAAAATTAAAATGAACTTATTTAAAACACATAGAAGCTGCAATTTTACCTATAAACCTAATTATTATTTTTTGTTTAAGAAATGTTCAAACTACAGTAACCAAAACAATCAATTGCTATACTAGAACACAGAAAAGTGATAAATAATTAAAAGTTCGTATTAACATTTCAAATAAAGGGGATGTAGGTTAATATCATTGACACACCATCTTACCAACCTTTACAATAAGATGAGAAGAAAGTGTTCATAGACGAGGGTCTGGATGGGGATCCTTCATTTTTATATTCTCTTTTTTTTCAAGCCTTTTTTCTCTATTCTTTATACTTTTTACCCATTATTCTCTATTCTTTATATTTAATCACCTCATTATTCTCTATTCTTTATTTTTTTGGTCCATTTTTCTCTATGCTTTATTTTTTTACCCATCTGTAAACCCTCATCCACACCCTCAGAGATGTATCTACCAAACACAAATCTGAATTTTATTATGTTTCGCTGGTGGCATTTGGACTCCATACATATGACAAGTTAGCATCATTTTGAATTAATAGAAATTACATAAACACTTGGATGACAATGAACATTTACCGTTTTACTAGTTTACAACAACCGTAGTACATGTAAGAAAGGTGATCGTCAAACTATTTGATCCGACGCATTAATGGCATACAATCTTCACATAAAAGATGCGTTGAAATCATACTGAAGTTATCTATGAGAATATTCATTGCAGCTTTACTTCTGCATGCAGCATACAATATCCTTTATTGGAGCTTTTATATATTACTTCTAGAAGTATGCAGCATAAGATATCCTTTATTGGAGCTTTAATTCTGCATGCAGCATTAAATTTCTTCATTGTAGCTTTACTTCTGCATGCAGCATTAAATTTCTTTATTGTAGCTTTACTTCTGCATGCAGCATTAAATTTCTTCATTGTAGCTTTACTTCTGCATGCAGCATTACATTTCTTTATTGTAGATTTACTGCTGTATGCAGTATTAATTTTTCTATATTGAAGTTATTTTTTGTATGTAGCACTGAATAGTATATGTTATACAAGACTGGGATTAAGTTTTAATATTTTTAATATTTTATCAATTCAATGAATCTTTTCGTTTTCTCATAAAGCAAATAAAATATACCTAAACAAGACAAATATGCCATCCCTTGTCTATGTAAATTTTTGACATTTTTAACTATTATGTCTGTTAGTTTTGTTCACACATTGTTGTCAATATAATGAAATTTTATGCGACTTTCATACAAGTGAGAGCTTTAGCTAGCTGTAAAACCAGGTTTAATCCACCATTTTTTACATAAGTAAATGCCTGTACCAAGTAAGGAATATGACAGTTGTTTTCCATTCGTCTGATGTGTTTGAGCTTTTAATTTTGCCTTTTGATAAGGAAATTTCCGTTTTGAATTTTTCTTGGAGTTCGGTATTTTTGTTATTTTACTTTTTGGAAAGTTCGAGTGTGGTTAAAAAATAACGACAATTACTTGTCTAGCAATGTTTTTTTCTCTCGGGCAAACGCACACGAAACAGGAAATAGTACCCTCTTAAACGACCCATTAATTTGATATAAAAGTGCATACAATCAGTTCTTTTATCCAGACATTTTCCGATTCTCCGCGAGGTGTTTAATCAGTAGAACTTTCATTCGGTTGAAGTCATCGAGGTATTGGGTAAGACTGTCTCAAGCGTTGGATCAAAGCGTTATATGGCTTCTTTATGATCTCGCCTCTATTCCCATTGAACCGTTTATGGAATGACCGTTTTGACTCACCAACAAATCGGTCTCCACAGGTAGAACATTCTAGAATATAAATAAAAATTAATCTTTTGCACATTACAAACTAGTATGTAGTACTTTTGAGTAGCCTTATTCATGAATGTTGCTGAATGATACATCTGTGTGTAGCATTTGCAGCGTTTGTCCACACACTTCAGCCAACAGATCCCTTAGACTATTTTGTTGTCTGAAACATTATGGGGGCTCGGGACAGATCTTGAATAGTATCCAAAGAATTTTTTTACCTATTCATATATGATCTATTCAGTTCATTGATCATCAACTACATAGTACTAGTATATGATCTATATATTAAAAAATCAAAACTCATCCTATTTACTTATCTTTTTCAGTCAACAACGAATTATGGCCAAGAGGATCATTTGGACTTATGGGAACTACAACCGGATGTCCTGCTCCTACGTGGAGTACAGGCCGAATCACTCAAGACACCGAAGGATCAAATGTTCTATCAGCTGTAACAAATGCAGTTCATTTAAAAGGTAATCATTACAATAGTTTTTGTCAAAAAATACATAGATTGTGAAACATTTTGTTTGTTAAAAGTGCCAGTCTTTGTAAGAATCAGGCAACTTAGAAAAAAATCAAAATATGGCCGAAGAAAACCCCCACCGACCTAACCCCCCTATTTTGAAGGTACCCTCATCCTGAGTTAGAAATGGTAGGTCTTTTTTTCTGCGTGTCTGGTAATTTAAAAAATATCTAAATTAATTTATGGTTAGAATGATAGCAATTTACGGAGTTGTCTCCCCTTAATTGTTAATTTCTAGTGCATTTCAACCAAATTATATCTCAAGTTACCAGAACAGGGAAAGGAAACGAACGTTATTTTCATGCACTCTGAACTTAAATCAATGTAAATTTGAGTGGGTTTTTGTTTGTCATGTTTTCACCACAGCCTGATTCTTAGACAGATTGACACTTAAAAAAAGACGCACCATGGCAGTGTTGTGAATCTATGCATTGTTCAGCAATGTTGTTACTATGTGGTATTTTTATATTGACCTTCAACGATGCTTAGTAATATATATATTTGTTTCTAGAATTTCTAGAAGTGATAGATTCTGAGGATTTTTGTAAGGATGCCATTGAAGATGAGAAACATTTCATTTGAAAATGTCCCACTTTTCAAGGTTTAGTAATATATATATATTTGTTTCTAGAATTTCTAGAAGTAATAGACTGGATTTTTGTAAGGATGACATTGAGTATGAGATACATTTCATTTTAAAATGTCCCACTTTTCAAGGTATCAGGTCTTATTCTATTAAACCTTATTTTTGGAGAAAACCTTTTATGTATATAAATATATTCAATAAATGAGTTCAAATAATTTTAGAGAGCAACTATAATTTGAGTAAATTCATATTTCGTGCAAAAAATAAGACTTGGCATGTTGAAATATGTTTCACGCGACTACCTGCTGCTATTCTATGTATAATATTTGTAGTTTATACATTGTATGCCTATAGTTGTTTTGACTTTGATAAATGCAGAGCTATTAATGTTTCAAGTCGTCATGTTGTCTTCGAAACCGTATTATAAAAATAAAATATTGATACAATAGACTAAATGTAGGGTGATATATCGATGGAATTTAAATGTAGCATTTCAAAATTTTACTTTGTTATGCAATGAATCTAATTTTACAGTATTGTGATTTAAACAAAGAGGAAAAAAAGAAGAAGACAATTTTGGAATCGTTGTTATTTACACATATCATTAATATGCAATAAAATTAATTCTATCCATGTAGAAATGTGAAATTAATAGCGCATTCAGGAAAGGAGAAAATAGCAAACAATAATTTGCCATTATCAAAACTGTATTTAATAGAACTGAGAAGGTGTTGCATCAGGTGTAACACAAGAAAAAGCTTTTAAATATTATATTCAAACAGACATGCTTATTCTTAACCATTGTGCTAAAAATATTGCATGTCGTACGAACAATTAGTTTCTTTATATACTGATTTCATAAATGCATTATGGCGTGCATTTTTTATCATTTGCTTGTATAGACGAAAGCATTTATAAATGTCAAAACATGCATTTAGAGACGTATTACATCTTTTTGAATTAATACTAGCCATTAAAAGCTGAATAAGCTATTTTAAGCTAATTAAACTTCTCAATGTGTGAAAACTATCATGTGTTTTATTGTTTAAGGTGACGTTGAATTCAAAAGCTTATTCCTAAAGGTTATCAATTTTTAAAACGATATTGGTAAGATCTCAATATACTATCTGTATCGTTTCTAAAATAGAGTTTAATTTCAATGTTTTAACACATTTAATATATTTTTCTATCTATGGAGAACCACTTAAGCAATTATTGTCCTGCATCGTGTCAATACTTTTATTAATTTTACATTTTTTTTATTTGACTGTCTATAGCGTCTTTATACAGTGGAGGTGTATAGTGATTTGTATTTCAATCTAAAAAAAAAATAGTACATTCATTAATTGAAGTTGGCTTTGAACTAGGCCTTGGTATATGTTCCTGTGAGTAGTCTTAATCATAGTATCCATGTTCAAGTAAAGAGTTGAACCGGTTTGTACTTATGTTGTGCTGTTACCCTATTGCCCCAATTTATCAGGAGTATTGAGTCCCCATATGCTGCTTAACCGTGTTATATTTTAATTGTGTCTGATCTAAGACAGGAGCATTTGGTTCATATGAGTTATTGGTTGCCGTCTTTCCTTGTTGTTTTTCGTTCAATGTTTGAAACTTAAATTAGGCCATACATTTTTTACTTTTTTAATTTAGTTATCCCTGGATTTTTAAAGCTTTCTATACAGTATGGGTTTTGCTCGTTGTTGAAGGTCGCACGGTTACGCAATGTACATATAGCTGATAATTTCATTGTCACTAAAACATGAACTACTGCAAACTCCGAAACAGTGGTAACGTCCTCCTTGCTACGCTACGATGATTTTCAATTAGAATTAAAAGATACATGTAGTTTAGCAAAGCAACGTCACCGCTGTTTCGGAGTTTGGGACTACTAGTTCTTCCGGGACTTCTGAATTCACCTCTGGATTTAAGTGAGTCTAGAGGAGCTCAATCATTAAATGCATATGTAGTGATTTTTTTTTACCGTTTTTGTCTTTAGTCGTATTTTCTTTTGGCCGTGGTGTCTGTTTTTATTCCACTTATGGTTCCGGTTTCCGGTTTCCCACTTTGTATCCTCCTCTTTTTCGACCTTTGACATTTTGATAGAATTCTAATTGGAATTCATGCCAAATCGCCTTATTTTTATATCAATAAGCATTGTTTTGATATAAAAAAAGTATTCATGTTAACTAACTAAAGGGTTAAAACGATAAATTCGCAATAATTAGAACTACCAGGCGATGTAGATATAGAAAAAGAATATTCCTGGAGATAGTCATGTGATTTAATTTGGAAAAAATATAACAGTCTTGTGAATTACAAAGCTAAGTAAACTTATTTTTTAACAGATAGTTAGATTGTATTTTAAAAATATACTCATCATCCATGAAAAAATATGTCGATGTTTTACGGCTACAATATTTGTATATTTGAAAATACATACATGCACTGGTTCAGATCTTTCTTAAAGACGATTTTTTATTTGACATGCCAAAACGTTTTCAATATCTCCAACTTCCTCATTTATTGTAAAAATGTAGATTTCTAATATTTTTATTTAAAGTTTACGTTATCGTTATAGAGATTCATAACGAGTCCATACATACACAAATTTATGTAACATATTTTCGATATATCAATGAGAAAAAGTATAGTATTGCGTCATTGATTCAGTAACGAAAAAATAACCCCAAATACATCTAGTGATTAACATGCAGTCGGCAAAAACACAACTATAAAGATAGTGACATTTATAGTTGTTTTTTAACGAGTGAGAATAGGATATAATAAAATTGCTTGATATCAACTCGAGTAATTTCATTTCAATATAATAATAAACGTGCCTTAGGCGATTTAATTACTACCATTTAAATTAATCAACGAGATATGACACGGTTGTATATAACCATAGGTCAACGGACAAAAGTTAACAACGAGGAACTAACTCATAAAGCTATAAAAGGCCATGAGATAACAAAAAATTGAAACAATTCAAACGAAAAAAAACAACAAACGGTCTGGTTTATGTTTATAATGATAAACAAAAACAATTATGGAATGCAGCAATCGACGACATCCACTTGACTGCAGGCGTCTGGCTAGGCTTTAGGTTTATTGCCCATTTGCTGTTTGGTATTGACACACGTCCATGTATACAAAACCTCCAAAATGTTCTTTTATTTTTCCATGTATTAGAAAAACTGCAAAAAGAAAAATATTGTATCACCGAGGAATCAAAGTAACGTTAAAAAAATGGAAAACGATACACTTAAAAATCGTAATTAAAATAAAGACCGATAGCATCATGACCAAAGAAATAAAAACGACAATAGTTAAAAAATCTACACATTAAAATGAAATTTGAACGACGCATACCAAACCAAAAACAAAGGTCGAATTTAGGTGGTCTAGAAGAGTAAGCTGTTCCTGATTCACTGTCGTCACCCGTTGTGTTGCATATAACAAGAATAAATTATAAATATATAATTATATGTCATAAATGAGGAAAGAAGGACGAGATTGTGGTAACAACATATGAATCCTATGGGTTTTAAAAATTGATATATTTTACAGGATCAATTACAACATCTGAAATAACGACAGAGTTCTGTATGAAGCAAGGGGGAGCTGTAACAGAACAACCTTCATGGCCCATGGGATCATATTGTATTTTAAAATCTGGAGATTGTCCTTCGGGTAAGTCATTAAAATCAATTTGCGATATCTTGAAATGGTATAGACTGGATATCTCTTTCGTGATCCGGGTTAATTTGTTACAAATGAAAGACAGGCAAATATAAAAATAAGAGGATGTGGTTTGTTGCCAATGAGACTACTCTCCACCAAAGACCAAATGACGTAAAAGTTTAGGTGACGTATTTGATATTACAGCAGTCCCAACAGGAACATTAGAAAGGTAATTGTACTTCTTTTCCGATGTGTTTTGGTTTCATTTAATAAATAAAATAAAGAAATATTCTCCTCTTTAACATTTAGGTTTAATTTAACTTATCTATCTGGGATCATAATGGATTTTGGGGTAAAGATTTAAAAAGACTTTAAAAGTTTAAATTTTCAAAAGTTCTTATGGTATCTTGTTTATTACAAACATTGAACGAGTTTTGTTTGGATGTCAATAAGCAAAAGCAATATATAGATGAAGATCAGACCTTTAGTTAACGATGTATAAAATTAAGATGATGTGGTATGAATATTTTTTCATAAAATGTTGTGTGTGAGAGAAACGAAACTCAATCATATTTTAAACGATAAAAATGTTCATGTGCGAGATTAAGTTTATGAAATATTTTGATAGGATTCTACGAAACGTTGAATTGGCTATTTTTCTTAATTTATATAGGATTTTCCTCTGGATACATAACTTGGGACGACGAAGATGTGACGAACAGTAATTCGGCTGTTGGTGCCTTACCAGATGGTGAATTCACCAACGATCTCACCACAATCTTCTATTGTTGCAGGTAATAAATGTTTTTTACACCTCATTTTCTAATCAGTTGGTTGTGTTTTTTTTCCAAACGCACGCCGACTGTGGTTGATTTAAAAGCTACATGTTATATATATATAGCACTCCTTTTACGAATTAACGTATTTAATTCACGAAAAGCGCAGCTTTGAGTGAATTCAATATGTTAATGAGTAAGGCGTGGCTATATATGATTTGTAACATTAATGGGCTATGACACATGTCAAAGGTTAAATGCTAACAAATAAAACTTTACTGTACTTTTCAATATGTCAATCAAATAGTGGCGTGATACTATATTTGATTTTCAGAAAATTACCACATGCAGCAGATGACATTTGGATTTGTATTTCAGATACAGGTACATTTAAATGGATTCAGACTCGATAGCCATTTATGTGTTTTTGAATAGTTTTTTTTCTCCCCGAAAATTCTTGAGGGGGGGGGGGGGGGGGATAGATGCAAAATTTTATTCAATGTTTATCTGCCTTCAAATCCGAAAAGGACGTGTAGTTTTAAAGGAGTTTTAACGTAGTGATAAGAAGGAAACATTTTCCAATACTGATATATAAAAGTCATTTTATACTATTTTTCCTTTCCCAACAACTGTTAGTTAATTGATTTGAATGGTTGTTGATTGCGAGTAATGTCCAGGGACAAATATTAGAAGCATGATCAATTCACGGAGATAGACCTTTATAAAATGGAGAAAAATACTAAACATCCAATGACATATATTTTTTTTTATAATGTTGTTAATTATGACAAGATAAAAACAGGAATCAAACCATAATAACAGTAGGAAAATGTATGTATAGTCATTTCTATTCCATTTTGTTTCATTTTTTTCATTATTTACTTTTCGAAGGAGGCGGAGCCGGACTGTGCATTAACAACTTCTGAAATGGAAGTTAGAGCACTGGTTTAAGCTCCTTCCATTCTTTGCTATTCCAACGAGATGCGGTCAACGACGGGAATGCAGAGTGTAATAACTGAAAAATCATTCAGTTAACGCACTCCTCTAAATATAACCGAAGTTAATTCACTTGTAGATCAAAGGAAAAATAACCATGATTCATGTTACAAATAAATGATATCACTTCAAGGTAAATCTTTATAAATGAAATACATATCGTTATAATCGAGTCTACAATGTTAACTTTAATTTTATCAAGCACAAATTAACAGAAATACACTAAAAACAATTAATCTGGAATTAACCGTTTCATTTGTAGGATTTACAGAATCATAATATATATCACTGTAAATTATGTAAAGGTTAGACAATACTTGGTCATGTTTTATGAAGATTTAAAGCCCAAGGCGTAGCCATTGTTTAGGAAATAAAAAAAAAAAGTCGTATAACTGATAAAATCATGTAATATAAGGCAAAAAACATTTCAAACTGGAATATAAATTATTTACGGCAATTTTTCGAAAGACACCAGGACTTTCTTATAGGTTAACGGTGTCGTAAACAAATCTTATAAGGGGCCAGCATATATGGGGAGCTTGAGATTATAACAAATGACCTGATATTGCAATAGTTACTGGCAAAATGAAAAAAAAACCTATTTCCAAAGACAGCTTAAAAATTCGCGAACCAAATTGTGCATCAAATATGAAATTAAATATTCATGCAGTATCGCTTCAAAAGAACCAAAATTAAAGTGCAAAAAGAGAAACTTATAATTACTTCATACTTAGTTTTTAGTATTACTACTATTCCTTAAAAAAAATTGTTTATATTTCCTAAAAGATATGCGTCCGAAGGATTTTTTGTGTGCGGATATATATAAACGTCAACAAATCTTAATCAACATTTGAAGCATTATTTAACATCAGTGTAGGTCAGCTACAATTTCGAATAGGAAAAACAAAATTTTCTTTATCATGCTTGGGAACATAGGTTACAGTGGTCAAAGGTAAATAACAAAAATAACCGAAAATTCAAAACGAAAAGTCCTTAATCAAATGGAAAAATCAAAAGTTCAACCGCATCAAACAAATGAAAAACAACTGTCATATTCCTGACTTGGTAAGGCATTTCCTTATGTAGAAAATGGTGGAATAAACCTGGTTTTATAGCTAGCTAAACCTCTCACTTGTATAACAGTCGCATATAAAAGTTTGTTTTGACACATATTGGCAAGTTTTATCGTTGAACACATGTGAGATTTTGGAAAGGGGGGGGGGTTAATTGCATCTAAATTGATAATACTCATTTATTGGTTTTAAAAACAAAATAATGAGTCTTTTATTCTGGAATTTAAAAATGTTACATGTTAAGCACTCGACATAACAAAACAATTAATTCGTAGTTATAATATTTGCTTTAGTATTATTTTATTTTATAAACAAGTTATATACTTTTTTATTCTACATTGCCTAGAGGTATAGGGGGAGGGTTGAGATCTCACAAAACATGTTTAACCCCGCCGCATTTTTGCGCCTGTACTATGTCAGGAGCCTCTGGCCTTTGTTAGTCTTGTATGTTTTTTTAATTTTAGTTCATTTATATGTTTTGGAGTTTAGCATTTTTTATGTTCAGTGGACCGTGAAATAGGGATCAAAACTCTAATTTGGCAATAAAATTAGAACGATCATATCATAAGGAACATGTGTACTAATTTTCAAGTTGATTGAACTTCAACTTCATCAAAAACTACCTTGACAAAAACTTTAACCCTGAAGCGGGACAGACGGATGGACGGACGGACGGACGAACAGACGGACAAACAGACGAACGGACGAACGGACCGAAAAACATGATGCCCCTAGCTGGGGCATGAAAACAAAAAAATACTCGGTCTATCTACAATGTAGACATACCGGAATGTTAAAAGATCACAAAATCTATCTGTAATTCGTCATTATACGTCAAGTAAATTCCAAACCTGTCGTCACAACAAGAACCGCAATTGTTTTTGAAGTACGAACAGACGGCAATAGGATGCTATATAAAGATGCGGATCCAGGATTTTGAAAAAGGGGGGGGGGGCATGCCCCCAAACAAGACAAACCATAAATGAGCTCCATGAATCCCCGTAAATCCGCCTCTGATATATGTTACGACTATTTAATTATCTGTACAATATAGCAACGTAAACTGGTAAGAACAATTTAAATAACTGAAGGATTTGCCACAAGCATTACACTAAATTTCTTGAACATATGTACCTGTACATTGTGAACATCTGCATTATGCTCAGGCAACTTGAGATAAGCGATTGTTCTTTCTAATGAACATCCAATAATCGAATAACGGTTAATATTTCCATCAAAAGACTGTCGTTTTATGAATTTGAAAAATTCCAAATAGCGTAGCATATCTGATATACTCAAATTAAAATATTTTTTAAAATAATGACGTCAAATATATATTACCTTTTATATTAGCTAATAATATTTAATTTATAATGCCATTATGGACATTTTTAATTATAGATTTCAATGATATCATGTTTTTAATCCCAAAAAAATACAATCTTGTTTAATGCCATTTTTAGTAAACCCGTGTACATAGCACGCACACAGTAAAAAAATAAGAAATTTGATTCATTTTGGAAAAGCAAAAAAAAAAAAAAAAAAATGGAAGAAAAAAAGAATAATATATTGAAGTAAATGCACTATCAAAATTATTAAAGCTAAAATGATATTGTCTTTGCTCATTATCTTTTACTCATTACATGTAGATATATCTCCATCATGTGGCTTATCTAATATAATTAGTGAAATCATTTGCCGCATAGTTTCATACGAGATTTACTTACCTTTCAGAAACGACAGTTCAACAACTTCTCCTATGGTATTACCTACAGCGGCTCCGTTTGTATTGTTAAAGAAAGGAGCGACGTGTCAATCCGTCAATGGTATGTCTGTTGTTGAGGAATGGGTCTTCTGGGAGACAGAAGGTACTAATAATAATGATGCTTATGAAGGATCGTACCCAAGTATGGAAAGAATCACACCAGATATAGGAATCAAGCTTTTCTATTGTTACTACAGCTGAAAACTGTCGTCAGGATGCAATCGATCATTGAAATTTAGTTTAGATCAGGTGTCTTTTTCTGAGCATCCCTTCTGGCATGTTGCAAAAATACTTTTGTGGTCAAAAATATTTTACCAAGTAACATTCATTATACAACAAAATCATCTGAAACTAGAAAAAAAAATATGGATTAAACTATCAAAAAATGATGTGTTGTTAAGTGTTTTAAAAATTTACAGAAAAAAAAATCTTTTTGGATTCAAGGGCAGAAAATCATACTAAATTCGATAGGAAAATTTGAGCTATATGGATTTTTCAAGAAAGTAAGGCCAGTGACCCCCAAAATTTGAAAGTATACTGACCCAGAAGTCTTTTACAGAAGTTTAAGAAAATTGTATCGTCGAACATTTTGACACCCCAGCTTCATTAACTGACCGTTTTGTGTATTATTTCATGGTTTAATGTTGCGTGGTTTTGCAGAGAAGCAATCGTATACTTCATATAATAGCTGTATTGGTAAAGTACAAAATGACTTTCCTTTACACTATGTACTTATATAAATGCCTGTACCAATATAAAAATGAGGAGATAAGGTACGATTCCAAGTCAGGAATTGAACTTGTTTCGTTGGTAAATAGCGTTTGATTTTGTCAGTTTTGTAAGGACTTCCATTTTTGAATTTGCCTTGAAGTTTGGTAATTTTGTTATACTTTTTACTAACTTTTAGTAATGAAAGAGAATAGCCAGACCTATTTATAAGATATTTTTCGGATGAAATCTAAGATAGAACATTAACGTCTTCTTATAGTTGAATTTGCCAAAAAGCTTATTTTGATTTTGTTGAAAAAATATATCCTTCTTATCATCAGTAAAAAAAATAACCGAATAGTTACTGTACTGTTTGTATACACCTTCAAATCTAGAACTAGTATTCTTTTCTGATGTAATGCCCGACTTTGACGTCGGTCATTCAAGTAACCGTTTATGCAATATTTACAATCTAAATAGACTTATTACACACTTGGAACTTCTGATCAAATGAATTTAGATCGATTATGTACTAAAACAATAACTATACTGATGAAATATTTTTATCTATTGCAATTAATAAATGATATTCCTTTTCAAGATATCGAAATCTTAAATGTTGTACATGCAAGTTTCATAAAGCATATTAAAATTTTCTTGATAAAAAACCAGTGTTTATGAAGACTCATTTACAAGTTCGAACACTAGCTAAATCATTTCTCCGGATACGAAAAAATACAGCAAGTAAATAAGAACGCTTTGACACATGATGGTAATAAACGAACAATGCTCAAAATATCTTCACCAAATTTTATATCAGAATGTGAATTTGGTATAATTAATAAAATTATCAATTATGTAGAGAGCAGTTTCAATTATGAGGTTTGACAGTTTTTTTCTGAAACCAAGTCAAAATATCAAGGGAAACTGCTCAACATCTGGGGTCTGTTCGTTCCCCAGACCCCCGCACATTATAATGCCTCCTATTAAACAAGTTCAAATTTACGGCCCTGGTGCGGAGACATAGTGTATCATACGAGGTTCTCCAAAATGCCTTCAGCCCTTCAGCCCTTTTGTCTTCATGTATTTAATTCATGATCAGAAAAGACCATGATGGCTAGGATTTATAAAAATTAAAAACTATATCCATAGAAATGAGATGTGCCAACACTAATTTAACTTCATACCAAATATCATTGACCTGCCTCTGGTAGTTTCCCATAAACTGACCTAATCACAAACTTATACGTGTAAACTAAGAAAAAAAAGTTTCAGAGTCAATAGACCATTACTTACAGGGTAAGGTCAAATAATCTCCATGGAAATGAGATATGCCTATACAAATACCAATTATCATTAACCTTCAATTAGTAGTTCCAGATTAACTGACCTAATCACAAACGAAGCAAACATTTCAAAAGTCAATAGACCATGATTGAGAGGCCGGTGACAAATAATCTCCATGTCAATGACTAGATGTGCCAATACTTCTATAACTGCATACCAAATATCATTGACATACCACTAATGGTTCCCAATAAACTGACATAATTATAAAATAATACATTGTTGATACTGCAGCCGCCTATGCTGCTGCCGCCGGAAAGAGCACTTCGTCGAGGCAAGACAACCGTTCCCAAAGATTAACATCAAGTGACTTGCTTTCGTTCAAATATAGATTAATGTAATAAAGGTATGATAACAATTCTACAAGGAATGCTAGCGCCCATCAAGATACATGTATATTGAACATCACACACATTTTTGTTTTGTATAAAACATTATATGTTATAACGGAAATAAAAATAATAAGAATTGGGTATATTACAAGCCCATTACAGTTAAAACATAACGAGTTATACTTTAATTTTTTTTTCTAGAAGTGAACAGGTAATAAAAAATGTCCTATGCGTAAATATATAAAAACATAATTTCAATATAAACTGGCAACATTCGCGGAATATACCACGTAAAATAATCAAGATTTCAAAAGAAATGTTGACTATTACGAAATGCAATTATTCAAAGTTTCATTTACTATTACAGACAATGACAAAATTACCCTTTTGATCTTTAACATTTTAGCATCAAAATAGAAATAGAAATATGTAGCACATAATTTGATATATTGACAGTTGTATGACATTAGACATTTCAATAGTCTAATTGGCAATTTCCGTAATTAATCCTGTAATACTAAGTCGATTTTTAGTTGTCCCCCTTAGGAGGGGACATACATTTTTATCAACAATGGAGAAATAGCGGAAAGAACAAATTTATCTTTGCGTGTTACATCTGAGCTTTTCAAATCATTTTTTGTTAAGCTAAACACTTCTGATACCAGCATACATTTTTCACTAAAAGTTGGTTAAAACGCCGACATTTCACTTCCACTTATCATGCTTTGCGTACGCAGACGCCAATTTTGTCTGGTAAAGAACAACACTACGATTGACTAAGGGAAGCAATTGGTATTTAAAGTGGTTATAACACAACAAATCGGTAATTGGCAAATGGACTATTGTAACTGATATATGCATGTTATATTTTGAATTTCTATATTATATGCTGTTCGTAAATTGTTTCATAACAGAGGAACATAAAACACATTATGTATATAAAATTATGGTTGGGAAATATGCATAGAATGTTGTATAGATATTTTGTTGTCTTGTAAATAAAAACATAAAACGATCATTGTCTTTCTTCTTCCTTTATTCCATTTACTGCTGTTCATACCATTTCCACGCTTTCCAAGTAGGACTTAAACCATTCCCTTTTGTGTTGTTATTTTGGGTATTACGTACTGAAATATGTATACTTATATGAAACAATTGGTACATATGAATAAAAATGATGTAATAAAAAATGAAACAACAACCGAAGGAAAAAAAAAAAAACCACACACACACAAAACAACACAAAAGACTAGCAAACTAGTTTAACCAATTGTCTATCTAACGTAATTTTCGGACGGTATTTACTTCTGTGTATTGAATTGGAGTGGCATACCTGGTTAGCAAGAGCTTACCATGTAGACGTATTTGTTTAGTCTTAGTCCGGATGGATCGCTGGCGATTTGAACGTTTTTTCCCCGCATATATTTATATGTGCTGGTACATGAACTTGATTTACTAAATTCTTCCATAGATATACAGATTTGGTTTTGAAGTTTGAATGTACCTGTAGGAAACGTATTTCAAACGGGATAGCACACCCTAATTTTTACGGAAATGTTATTTACCGAGCCCGGAAAATTAAGAAACGATCCGGGTAAATTATCGATCCTTTAAATAAACTTCTTCTAAAAGATTACCAATTCAACACTGTAATTAGATCTCTGAATATTGTTTTTATGGGTAATTAATATTGATTTTGTTATCAGTAAATTAAATCAAACTAAATATCATTTGTATATACATATGCACATTCATACAATCTGTCGATACCTGTATCTTGGCATTGCACAAGGTCATGATTTTCCTTGACTGTTAATGACGTATTTACACTAAATCCATATTTTAGTCTTTTTTTATTAGTTGTTATTGGCTTTGAACTAAATGTTAGTAACTGCGAGTACTCTCAGATCTGTCGTTTTGTTGCGGGGACGTATAAGTACCCTACCACGTCCACTCTGTGTTGTTGTCAGATGTATTTCTATTTGTATCGATCTTATGAGTTAAGCCTTTTTCAACTGATTTGTATAGTTTGTTATTATGTTGTACTGTTACACCACTGTACCAGGTTAGAGGGAGGATTGGCGCTTTCAAACTAGTTTAACCCCGCCACATTCTGTATGTGCCTATCCCAAGTCAGGAGACTGTAGTGCAGTGGTTGTCGTTTGTTGCTGTGTAACATTTTTGTTTTTCGTTCATTATTTTGTACATAAATTAGGCCGTTAGTTTCCTCGTTTGAATTGTTTTACACTTGTCATTTCGTGGCCTTTTATAGCTGACTACGGTATGGGCATTGTTCATAGTTCATTGTTGATGGCCGTACGGTGAAGTATAGTTGTTAATTTCTGTGTCATTTGGTCTTTTGTGGAGAGTTATCTCATTGGCAATCATATCACATCTTCTTATAACTATTTTCATATTGATGTATTTCAACTGATAGCTGTCCATTAAATTAACATGTATTTATCCTACAGCTTTTTAAACATAGACTTATAAAATGCTTTAATTGTTATGTATTCCTTTTTCGCCTCATTCGTCCGTTCCTTGTGAATATCAAATACACTTCCTTTTGTGCAATTATCATTCAAAACCTTTCGGTTATCCGTTTATATCACATATTTATAAAAAAGCCAGTGTGAAGAAATAAAATTGAGAATGGAAATGGGGAATGAGACAACAACCCGACCAAAGAACAGAAAACAGCCGAAGGCCACCAATGGGTTTTCAACACAGGGAGATAATCCTGCACCCGGAGGCGGGCTTCAGCTGGCCCCTAAAGACTAGGATTTTACATTTATGAAAGTAACGGATTGTTTTGTTTGTCTTTGCTAATTTCAGATTTAGTTGGATGATATACATCGTCTATTCGGAAGGTGAATGACGATGGATATGTTCCAATTGTCGTAACTACTACCTCTTCCCCTTTCCCTAATGTGACCTATCGACATATGGCGGATTTGTAATTGCATGAGCAATACGACGGGTGCCACATGTGAAGCAGGATCTGCTTACCCTTCCGGAGCACCTGAGATCACCCCCAATTTTTTGTTGGGTGCTCAGTCTTTGGTTTTCTATGTTGTGATTTGTGTACTGGTGTTTGTCTGTTTGTCTTTTCTTTTTAGCAATGGCGTTGTCAGTTTTATTTTCGACTCGTGAGTTTGAATGTCCCTTTGGTATTCTTTGACTTTCTTTTACGAGTCCCAATGTTGGGTCTCATAGTTGTACACCAGAAACCAGTAAACTGTGTTTTGAAACAGATATTGTCATTAATTATCAAAACTTCACACGTTGATTTTCCACCAATCACACAGGTTTACTTGACCAAAGATTAAACAGGCCATAACTCAATTAAACGAAAACTTGCAGAAAAGGAGTAAAGTACTAAAAACTAATTCTACCGATGAACATTTGCATCATGTATAAAGTATTTACTTACTTTCAGAGGATTCTTGAATCCTTTCTCGGTAGTCACCTGGTCTGAAAAAAAAAATGGTTATATAATGAATTGCAACTGTTATTATACCGACAGGTGAACTTATATTAAAAATAATGATAATTATATTTGTTTTTCTTCACTATCTTTAAGAACGGGTAAGTTTTTTTCTATGACCATTTTTTCTGTCTTAAGGATGTTCGATCCTCTTGTTTTTTGAAATTTTACCCCTTTGGTTTTGTCCATGAAGTGCCATTACAAATTTTGGCCGCTAATCCCTGCTTTTCTTTTCACAATTTGATTACATATAGTTTAAAAAGCAATATTTGAAAATCCTATAAAATCTTTAAAATCTTTGTTATTTTTTCATAGTTTAAAAAAAAAAAAAAAGATGCCATTGTTAAATTGTGAAAAGTCTAGTGAGAATCATTTCCCGTCATATTTTCAATGGATTATATTTCGAAAACAAGCACACCGACCATTTTTTTCGCTGTTAGTAAGAACCAAAAAATACTTAAATGTGGTTTCAAGTTTCATTTTGAATGATATACCGTGTAATGTGGTTGCACATCTATCACTTATTAAGTGTTTGATTACTGAATACTTAAAGCGGTGTATTATTTGTGGCTTGTAGATAAACTCATCGTAGATACCAGGATTGAAATTTTGTATCTGACAATAGCTCATAGTACATTTATCTTGTTTTGTACTGTCGCATAAGAAATTATATTAACCTTCCTCTCCATGTACAAGAAAACCCGTTTTTGTAACACATATAGCAAGGCAACACCATGATTATAAGTCCAAGAATACCCGCAACAATTACCCACGCTGGATTAGCAGGATATTCCCAAAATGTGATAGGTCTGTCTGTTGTTGTTGTGGTCGTTGTTGTAGTTTGTGGTATGACGATAAAAATTGTTGATGTCCCTTGAAGACTTCCGGTATCTGTTGCCTGAACGGTAAAACTAATACTAGAACCATAACCGTAACTTGTTAAAGAATTCTTTAAGTACAAATCTCCATTTGTTTGAATTCCAAATGTTTCTGTTCCTAGAGACGTTTGGTCAATGCTGTAAATAAAATTTCCTGGAAAATATCAGTAAAAAGTAAGTGCATCGTAAATGAGAGGCGGAAGATACCAAACTCATAAGTTGGAAACGAACTGACAATGCCATGACAAAATACAAAAAAAACGACCAAAAGACAAACAACATTCTACAAAACACAACATAGAAAACTAAAGACAATGCAAAACGAGCCCCACCAAAACACAGGGGTGGTGTCATGTGCCCCGGAAGGGAAAGCAGACCCTCTTCCACATGTGACACCCGTCTTGTTGGTCATATAAATACAAACTCGGAGATAAATCTAAATCGGTAGATCACATTCGAGGAAAAGACGACGGATGACGAGACAAACAAAAGCCCAAAATCACTAGATAAAACACCGACGATTGAGCAATAAGAACCAAGTCGAAATCCGAGGACAACTGAGGTGTCCCGGACGAATAAGCAATTCATTCACCACTTGTGGCAATTGTCGTTTTGTTACGAAAAGTTGAAATAATGCATAGTTAAACAGATACGGCAAGTGGTCAACCTAATAATGATGGGTGTGACTTCAACCTTACCACAAGGAACATTTTGTTTAATAGCTTTCATGCAAGCAGCAAAGTTATACGTTTAAATCATTCAAGGGAAGGAAAGCCCTGGCATATCGTTTTGATTCGAAGTTATATGATCAATATTAAAGAATTTAGAAAAATTGAAATCTATATATAAAATATATATATTAGATTATAAGATTATGTAAAAACGTTCACAGCACATTAATCAGCCTAAAACTCATAGTTTTAATACAACAGGAATTCCTGCACTAAAGTTTCGAGATTTGTTTTTCTTCTTTTCTTCTTTTTCTTTTCAAATATTTTTTTTAAAATACGGACCAGTGTTAATATCACTTACCAAATGTTCCAGTATCGGCATCAGTTGCAACCGTCGAACCAAAGGCAGTGTTAAGAGGGTAATTGATATCCAAGTAGTAGGTAAACAGATTGTTCGAAAACCTTGGAGTATTGTCATTGATATTATTAACGGTTATGGTTAAAGATGCACTGTCGGTAAAAGAACCATCTGACACAACCAATGTACAAGTAAAGGATGTAGCAGAACCGGCAGCATCAACATCAATATCAGTAGCCAGAGTGATTAATCCTGTTGCTGGAGCTATCGCAAAATATCCAACATTTGATGCACAGGTCATGGAAAACGTATGAGTGTCACCGTTATCCCCATCTTGGTAGAGGTAACTAGGGTCAGCTAAAGTAGTACCAGCCTTTAAAGATATTAGATTTTTTAAAAGAAAATATCAGTCGTGCATGACATAAATGAGTTTTGTAATTGGACGATTGTTTTAAATGGATCGGTATGATATACATTGTACTGAATTATCAATATTCGCAGACAAATTAAGCTTATAGTGATCATTGAAGGATGCAAACCGTAGCAGTTTGGTAGTGTTATTCGCTTAAACCGAGAAATCCTTTGCCAGATATATTCGGTGAAAATGATGTTTTTTATTTCATATAAATTGTTATGTCAATTAAAATTGAAACAGGAAATCCCTCTAAAGTAATTACATGACACAGAAATTACAGATGTACGTGACTCTATTTAAAAACAAACTATAGATAACACAAAAAGCAGACATACATTGTATCTGTCATTTTAGTATATATTTTATAAAGTACATGCATCAGTTATCTCATATGACATGTATGACGAACAGTAACAAGGAGAAGATTACAATACCAAAGTACGAAGACGTGAACATTTGTGCAGTTCTTTGTTCATTTAGTTTAGGAAAACCCGATTCTTAGAATTGAGTTTTCTCTGACAGTATTGTAACCGGTTGTGCATCTCGTTACTGATCTTATTTAAATGTAAATACATACCACACCTTCATCAACACTTAGTGCGTATGCTTTCTTTGTAAACACCGGAGCCTCGTTTTGATTTGCTATACTTATAGATAGATTCTGAGATGCCGAATCTTTTGTGTCCGTAACTGTTATTGTAAAAGTAAAGGATGTTGATGATACGCCCTCGAAATTGATATTTGTTGATGCAGATGTACTAACAAGGCCATCTATAATAAAAAAACATAAATATAGTTCTCAAAAAGAATTGAATAAAATAATAACATTATGATTACAACTTTAACATTAACATTAAGAAATGGTAAACCGCATTTATATGTCCTGTTACATAATAAACCACATTTCAATGTTTACATCTCGTGTATCACATTGAATTTCATATTTAGGATACTATCGAAAGTAGAAGGTCGTTTTATATCTTGATCTTTTCCTCGATATTGACACAGATGGGCGACTTCAAACTAGAATCTACGACACACATGATGATTTCAACTTTCCAATTGTCAACTTCCCAATTCTCAGCAGTAACAAACCATCTGTTCCCGTTTAGATATTAGCTATGGAGTTTAATTATCTCAGTTAATACGTTGAGCTTGTTCATGTTTACACTATACGGACCTCGTTAATAAGGTTAGCGTCCTTACACAAAAACTGATCCAACAGAATTGTGAGAAAGAAATCGGCACTACATAAATTTTACAGTCACCATCACAAATTGGTTAACCGATGTGTCGATGTCTCAACTCACTATAAACCGACCTTCTACTTTCGGTAGTATCCTAAATATAAAATTCAATGTGATACCTGAGATGTAAACATTTAAATATGGTTTATAAAGTAAAAGGACATGTTTTCGTGGTATTTAAATACCAGTATGGTCGTCTGATCTGTAATTTTACCCATTGTGTCCTATTTCCGATTGTGACATTTTGATTGAGTGTGGATTCGCATCGCGGTTGATGCTTTAAGTGCTGAGCAACAGACGCTTATCTTGTCGACACACTCGGTCTCGTTCCTTTTTGGAGTTGTCTGTTTTTGTTTGCTACTTTGATTTGGCTCTTTTTAAACTATTAGACATCGGCAAACTACTGTTGGCTTTACTTATACAGAATGAGGAATTCAGAGTATAATTTGTAACATTAACAATAAAACTTTTATTCATAACGTGACAATAAGTATACAAAATAAATCATGATTCTGCGAATATATATTTTTTTATCTCCTGCCGTAGAACTAGTTTTACAGTCTATTTTACGGTTTCCGATTTTATTTTTTAAATATTTTTAGGCAAGTTTGTGCTACAACTGTGTACTTTGATTTTGACATCTTATATGTTTATGTAAAATGCGATAAAGTATATGTATATTAGATATGGATATTAATAATGATTCAGTAAATTAAAAACAAACTAAATAGTATTTTTATATACATAAATTTATTATGCATATTCATGGCTCTACAATCTGTCGATATCTGTATCTTGGCATTGCACAAGATTGTGTTTTTTTCTGACCGTTGATGACGTCTTAACAATAAATCCATTGGATGTTGTATATGTACTGATTGATATTTAAGTCTTAGATGCATGATTTTTTTATTATTTGTTATTGGCTTTTAAATAGCTGTCAGTAAATGCAAGTACTCTCAGATCTGTACTTAATGTCATTTTTGTTGTGGGGATGTATAAATACCCTGCCACGTCGGGTCTGTGTTTTTGTTAAATGTCTTTCTGTTTTGTATCGATCTGATAAGTTAAGCCTTTTTCAACAGATTTTATAGCTTGTTATTATATTGTACTCTTACACCACTATCCCAGGTTAGGGGGAGGGTTTGGCGCACCAGTAAAAATGTTTATCCCCGCCACATTCTGTAAGTGCCTGTCCCAAGTCAGGAGCCTATAATTCAGTGGTTGTCGTTTGTTGCTGTATATCATATTTGTTTTTCGTTCATTGTTTGGTACATATATCAAGCCGTTAGTTTCTCGCTGAATTGTTTTACATTTGTCATTTCTGTGCCTTTTATAGCTGACTATGCGGTATGGGTTTTGCTCATTGTTGAAAGCCGTACGGTTACCTATAATTATTAACTTCTATGTCATTTGGTCTCTGGTGGAGAGTTGTCTCATTGGCAATCATACCACATCTTCTTATTTTTATATTATAATTTGAATAACTTCAGACTTTTAGTTCAGGAATTCATTTACTGATTCGGGTATCATAAATCATTGCCCATTTCCGATGCTTCAAATATGGATGCAAAGTATAACTTTTGTTAAAGTTATGTCGATTTTCCGGGTACTTCAAATAACACAACATATTCTCGTAATGACTTACTTGCAGAATTGATATCGAAGTACAATACTCCATCAGAGGGGGATGACGTCATTGTGTATGTGTGTGTATCTGCACCATCATTGTCTTGTATGGATACTTGGAATATACTCAAACCTAGAGCGGAATTTTCGGACACTACTAAGGCAGACGGTAGTGGTAGATTCCTTATAACAGGGACGTAGTTTATATCTAAAATAGGATAATAAGAAATATAGACACATCAAATGTAATGTCATGCTATATACAAGACCTAAACTTTTGAATCGTTTACTTGTGTAAGACCAATAAAGTTCGGGCAGCAAAGTAGACTTATAATACATTGTCAGGGATCTGATGTTCAGTAGTTGTCGTTTGTAGTTCATAAGTGTTTCTCGTTTCTCGTTTTTCGTTTTTTATATAGATTAGACCGTTGGTTTTCCCGTTTGAATGGTTTTACACTAGTAATTTTTGGGGCCCTTTATAGCTTGCTGTTCGGTGTGAGCCGAGGCTCCGTGTTGAAGACCGTACTTTGACCTATAATGGTTTACTTTTATAAATTTTGACTTGGAGAGTCGTCTCATTGGCACTCATACCACATCTTCTTATATTCATATAATATCCTATGCTTATCTAGGCAAAATTGTTGTATTCCCGTAAATGTTAGATATCTTTAGATTTAGTATGAGTGTTGTGTGTCCGTGGATATTTTTCATTGTTTCTTACAACACCTGTATTTCTCTGAAATATAAACCACTCTTGCATTGTCCTTGATATACATGTTACGTATTTACACGTCTGATGAAGTATTTAATAAAGAAAATAAATTTATTGGTTACTGATAGCTTATCGCGGTCTTTTCCCACACGAGAAGAAACTGGTACAAAAGTAACAACAAACCTATGCCTTTTCAAGATCTGGTAGACCAAGTGTTATTACCATGTGCACAATGGCGAAGGATTGTTACATTCTAATGCACAAGCAATACCAGGCATACAGCTATGCACAATGATTATTATTCTACATCTTGTCGATATGTGTTTGGCATTGCACAAGACCGTGCTATCACCAGGCTGTGTATGACATCTTTTAGATTAGTACTGATTGATACTTTATTCTCGGAAAACATTATTTATTTATTAGTTGCGAGTTCTTTTAGATCCGCACATTGTGTCTTCTGTGTTTTTGTCTTCTTGTAATAAGATTGTTTGTGCTTCGTGCCGATCTGATAAATCAAATCTTTTCAAACTGGTTTGTGAAGTTTGTGCTTATGTAATGCTGTTACACCATTTTCCTAGGTTAACGAAAGGTTGGGCGTTCGCATTATGTTTAACTCCACCAAATTAAGTATATGCCTGTCCGAGGTCAGGAGCCTGCAATTTAGAGGTTGTCGTTTTTTGCTGTCAGTTATATTTGGTTTTTTTCATTGTTGTAGTATAAATTAGTCAGTTGGTTTTCTCTTTTGTATTGTTTTACATTTGGTCATATCATACCATTTTAAATCTTACTATTCGGTGATCTATATTTAGTTGCTTACACTACTTAATTTGGTCTCTGGTGGATAGTTTTCTCATTTGCAATCATACCACATCCCCTTGTTTGTATTCCCAGGATATCGGCAAAGACAGTCCGCAATAGTTTACGAGATGGTATACTTTAACCAAAACGACCAGTTAGAGGTGTCATCTTTACAGCTCAGCATTTATTAAACAATCTATATATTGTGGCTCCTTCAGGGAAATTTCTATATATCGTTATTTGAACAATTGGCAATAATTCGTTCTGGCATAATTTAATACGTGCTAATTATCAGAACGGAATCTGTATATGCACTAAGTTTAAACCTCCCATTTCTTAATGCTTTTGCATAGAAAAAAATCGCTAAGTCGTCGCTGTTATAGTGTTGATCAATCCCTAATAAAATACGTATGGAAATTACATTTTGTTTCGATTCATTTTACCTAACACATGGACTGTCAATGATCTAGGTCCAGTTGTCGACTTTCCGTCGGTTACATAAACGTATAAGTCATAGGCTGGTATAAATTCACCTTCAATGGACCGCTTGAGCACTATTTCTCCAGCTATAAAATATTGAGAGAATATAAATGTAATTAGTTTAATATCAGTGACATATTTAACGCTGCTAGCATAAAGATTTAGCGATGATATTATCAAAATAATATGAAAAAAATACTATTTTAACAAGTTTTTTTATTAATTGTAAATTGGATTACTGCAGTGTATCGCGTAATATTTATCAAATGTTATTTTGGTTTATAAAAAATACAATTAAACAATTCATCCTATTCATTTAAAAAAATCATACAGTGATATATTTCAAATGGACAGTTGGCTGATGGTACACAAAACATCGAGAACTCCACCTGGTCATTTTCCGGGTCAGTAATATCAACGTCGAAGACAATTTGTCCTATATAAGTTGCAATACTCGATACTGAGGTTATATCTAAAAATAAACATTGGAGTTAATTATTTTTCATTAAATTTAATTTTACATATTAAAATCTAGTTTTTTAATGTTGAATACTTTACTTGATCATTCGGCTTTGCAGTGAATATCTGTTGCTTCCACAAACCTCATTTATTTGCAGTTTAAGTTCTAGCAACTTGACGTTTTAATTTTACATAGTGTATTTTCTATGAACTCTTGTATTTACGACGATGCAAACAATGAACACATTTAAATACATGTTTGCCCTGTTCTGTTGTTCCCAATAAACTAATGCAATACTGTGCGAGCACAAGTTTCCCTTCCAAGAGTTTCGATGGCATAACAAGGTTGTTTTAATTATCGGTTCCATCATTTCAAAGCGCTTCACTTTAAAATTATTTCATTGCATGTGGCAATAAAGATTGCATGTATTGTAAGTGCAATTTATGTGATCCTTTGATATTGAAAGATATACTTAGTTTCCACGTGACTTCATATATATCTACTGAATTGCTTAAAAACTTACTTTGAAGGTTCAAAAATACAGGTGGCTTGTTACGTAAAATGTTCATGAAGAAGACACTGGAATCGGAGCGTCGACCATCATTACACTGAATATCGATTCTGTACGTTCTTATAAGATCGTATCGAAGGCTAGGGTTCGATTGCAAAATTATATCAAATTCTGCAAGAAAAAGGTATTGCTCATGTACACATATCTATGGTTTGTTCAAACATATATATTCATATGTATTTTTTAAAACTGTTGTAACAAAAAGGAATCGTTGATATGTTACCTTGTTGTAAACGAGGTCTCCTCACTTACTAGATAAAAACATACCCTTGACCGACATAATAATCTATATAATGTGAAAAAATCGAATACATACTAAAGATGAAATATATGCGTATGGAAATGAATGTTATCTGAATTCGGTTCAGTTACAGAAAACAATTGTTATCCCAATAATCTGCATTTGAATAAAAACCATATTTTAAATATATTAGATTTATCTTGCCTTTCTCCTTTAATCAATGACCCTTACTGTATGACACATCTAAAGGTGTTCGCTACTCAGAACTGTTTTTGACTTTTTGTCAGATATTTGGAATTCTCTGGTTTTATCTATGTAATGCCAATAAAAATGTTGTCCTCTAACCCTTATTTTCTTTTCATAATTTTATTTCATATATAGTTTAAATAGCTATTTTGTTTTAAATCTAATAAAATTCTTGGTATTTTTTCAAAGTTTTTGAAAGAAAAAAGGTGTCAATGTTGAATGTATGAAAAATCTAGAGAAATTATTTTTCCGCCAAATTTTCAATTGAAAATTTCTCATAAACAAGGACTTGTCATTTTTTTCTGCTTTTCAAGTTCCGTTATTCATATACTATCAATTCATAACAGTGTTTTAAAAAGCTTGTTATTTTGAAACAGAGGAGCGAACATCCTTAACTTAAACTCTATTCAAAAATTATAATTTGTAACATTAGTAAATGCGAAGGTATTTTTCAGTTTGGGAGAGAAAGCAAATGAGCATAGTTACGAAAGTCCCCTTTTATAAAAGGGAGAAAGCTTTTCAATGTTGATCCTTGTTTCACGTTTACATTTTAGTTTTTAGAATTGTAACTCACCATTAAAGTTTGTAGATGGCTTCATAAAAATTATATTTGTAGTTGGAGTAATTGCTGTGACAGAACATGTAACGACAGTGTTTTCTGGGTCCGTCACAGAAAATGTGTACAGCGTTGTCTCTACTATCACGTCCTCTTGTATATCTGTAGCTCTGGGAAGTCCGTTTATTGACGGAGGCTGAAACATGTAATATTAGGATTGACTGTTTGTTGAAATTCCAATGGAAAATTATTCATACATATTCAGGCCAGAGGCAAACATTTTCCCTTACAACAAATAACCTACGTCCTCAAAGAGTTTTAATAAGGGTTCTTTAACGTGTAGAGAGCGTGGTATATCTCTAAACGTGGATGCAAAGAGTATTGTATCTTTCTAAAAGAGGCATCGGATTAAACAGTTCCATTCCGACTTCGTTGCGTATTCATACATCCAGCACAACCAAACAGACGCCTCCTTTCAAAAGATCCCATTACAAGATGGAAGAAGTCCAGGAATGGCTATATTTCAATACCTAGCATTGGGGTGATATAAATGTAAGGGAGGCAAAAAAGTAACAATAAATTATAATATGTAAATTATAGATACAACACAGATCGTATTCTTATAATCGTAGCTGTTACGATCATGTAAGCTTAAGATAATTAAACCATGCTAAGACAAGTTCAGGGTATGAATGCTGTATTTGTTCAAATTCTACATCGCTGATCATGATCTTTGGTTAAGATTGAATAGAACTTCAAATATCATCAAAACAGAAAATTTACAAAGGCCATATTAAAATAGGAAAATGTGGCATTATTTTCAATGAGACAGATTTCCACCAGAGACAAAAATGACGTAGAAGTCAGCAACTATTGATCACCGTACGGCCTTCAACATTGAACAAAACTTATACCGCATAGCAATCTATAAAAGGCCCCGACATTTGCAAAAACAAATATGATATACAGCAACAAACGACATCCACTTAACTACAGGCTTCTGACTTTCGACATGTCTATTCAGAATGTGTTAGCGGGGTATATGTTTGTTTGATTTATGAATATGATGAAACAAATTATCTTTTTAAGAATTTAGAAAATGCAAAATGTAATAAAAAGCTATGCGAAAACGTAATGATTTTTACGCCTAAAAGTAATGATAATGTGTGTAAATGTAATGCACCGTTTTTTTTATCCCTTAAAGCTGTCCTAGATTTCCTTACGCGTATAGGTTAAAATGTGAAATATATAGTTAATCATGACCAAGCCACAGCCGTTCATAAGCTGATTTTGTTGGCAGGATATTGCGATTCTACGCAATATTGATAAATTTATCATAATTATGCCATGTTTGGTACCGTTATACACATACATACTAAATATACAGGACTATAAGACCTAGGACAGTCATAAAGTACTATAAGCTCGGTACTTTATAATCTTAAAATGAATAGACTTTTGTTTTAATACAGGTTTTCTATTCAATACCTAGATACAAGGTGTTTTTTTTTTACAACAGATAATCTATTTATTAGCTTGTGGTCCCGTTGTACATAGGTCAGGTCTTTGTTTTAAAGCTGGTTAGTCTAAAAGGATAAATATACACGTTATCGACGAAAGAACTCGTTCGGCATGATATTAAGGTAGCTTGTTGTTATCCTTCTTCTCCCATAACAGTAGATATTGAAATATTATATTTTCTCTGAATATAAAAAAATAAAATAAAATATATGTACAAATTGATATGTCAAACAAAAACACTCACCTCATTCTGTATAAGGTAGACAGTATAAATGCCCGCTGTGTCATCATAATTATCAGTGCAAGATAAGTCTAGGACATATGCATTCTGTGCTTCGTAATCTAAGGATGCACCGGTCGATAAAAATATGCCATAATCTGCAGAAAACATGATAAAAGCTGCAAAAATACAGGGTAGTTAAAGGAGTGGCAAATATACCAAAGGGATATTCCCTCAGGAGTCGAAAACAAACTGGCAAAAAAAAACCCCGACCAAACAACAAACAACAGTATACAAGACTGAGCAACACGGACCTCACTAAAACTGGGGGTGATCTCAGGTTCTCTGGAAGGGTAGGCAGATCTTTCTCCACATTTGTCACCCGTCATGTTCCTCATGTATGTACAGACCCGATGTTAATTCTAATTTGTTAGATCACATTCGAGGAAAAGAGGACAGAACTGTGTTTATGACATCGACACTTATCCATAGTTGTTGATGAAAAAGATATTCAATAACGGTCAACCAACTCATGACGGCGTTCGTGACATTTTCTAAGGGATAATTTCAACTTCACCACTTGGAACTTTGGGTCAAGTAGCTACCTTGTGACCATACATTCTCTATTAAGAAAATCATGACTGCTGATAAGATTGATGTTCATTGTTAGAAAGATGAACACTTGTTTGACCCAGTAATATAAGGTTTTAAAGATATCGAACACGAAAGGAAGATCCAGCTCTTCGTCGTTAATTAAAATTCCAAAGGAACATAGAAAAGAACTATGATATTCAGTAGTTCTTACACATTCAAGTGTTATATAAGCTTTCCAAACCCAAAACAATAAATACAAAATAAAATAAAACAACAGAAACAAACGCAAAATATTTTCTACAGAAACAAAGCAAAATTAAAACAAATAGAAAACCAAACACAGCTAAAAGAAAACATGCAAACATGAAGATCAAAATAGGATAGAGAATGGAAACAGGGAGTGTGTCAAAGAGACAACAACCCTACCAAAAGAGCAGAAAACAGCACAAAGCCACCAATGGGTCTCCAACGCAGCGATCAAATCCCCCAGCTGGAGACGAACGAAGTAAGGATTGCAGTGTAATAAGGATATTATGTCCATGTCAGATATAGCTTGGTTTAGGTCTTAAATGAGTCTTATGATGATACAACTTACTTGTACTGCCAGAAATACGTTTGATTACAAATGGAACTCCGGTAGACAACAGTCTACAGGTTGTAGGCTGTGTGTCCGTGACGATCAGAGTATGTAGTAAGGTCTCTGATGATAAGTCCTCAGATATAGTGGTTGAACTACTGGTAGACAAACTTGTAATAACTGGTGGCTGCAACATTTAATATTACTTTCTCAAGGGGATGGAATTTTAGCATGCTCTCTCCATAATAACTTTCTCGGAGAATTACACCTTAGTAACTAACTAAGTATCCCCAAAACCTATTCCTTGTTCGTGCCTTCTTTTCAATCTTTTTATTCTCTCATCCCAGTCTAGCCCAGTTAATTTTGTTTCTACTTTACACTGTTGAAATATTGACACAAATTTGAAATGTGTTGTCATAACTAGTTGTACAAGTTGTTGTGCTTACTCTATCGGTTTTCGATTACATCATAGTTCTTATTTAGGTAAAAGAAATCAAATAATGTGCATTAAACAAAAAAAATATTTTGTCAGGTATATTTCTTTGCAAGAAATAAATAAGAAAAAAGTCCAAACAGAACGATAAAATACAATTTCATAAAAAACGAATGAAGCGAATAATAAAAATTGAAGAAGATTTCTTTCGGTTAAATACCTCCACAGAAATTAATAATGGTATTTCCAAAATTTACAGGTTCCCAGAAGTCATTACTTTTGCGTTGCAAAAACATCCCGATATCCTTAAATATTCATTTGGTTAAGTAGTGTCCAAATATGGTAAATGCTGTGTGTATACTTACATCATTCTCAACCCGTATCGTCAGAATGCTGGACGACGATTTCGAACATAGATCACTTACAGTGAATTCCATCAAATGATCTCCAGGGACCAGGGAAACACCAGACTTAATTTTAACTTCCACTGTTATAAAAAGAAGAAAATTAATTGTACGTATGAAAATAGTAATATAATCCTTGTGACTCTGTCACAAGCAAATGGCTTATGAAACAGCGAAATATTTTTTACGATCGTAATGCTTTTTAAATTGCAAAAAATATAAACGATTGTTGGTTATACATTCAATTAAAGTCATTATTGTAACTTGCAATAATTCTCTACATGGTATATTAAACCACATGAACATGTATTTGATAAGTTAAAATAATCTGTTCATTTCCCACAATTTTATTCATATGTGACTTAGGTATGAATGACATAATACGGAGTATCTGTTGATTAGATTTAAAGTTTTCAAGTGAACTGTGTTTGCTTTTATTTAATAGAAGATTTCTAACAAGTAGATTAATTTTGTTTTTTTGTTTTTCTGAATATGGCTTTCATCATCTATGCCTTTGAGTATAAAAACTCTACTGATCACATCCTATTAGTTAAGTCATGGACAGTTAGCAATTTTTCTATTTTAACAATACATATCAAATTTGTATTTCGTTCATTATTTTGTACATTAATCAGGCCGTTAGTTTTCTCGTTTGAATTGTTTTACATTTGTCATTTCGGGGCATTTTATAGCTGACTATTCGATATGGGTTTTACTGATTGTCGAAGGCCGTATGGTGACCTTTAGTTGTTAATGTCTGTGCCATTTGGTCTCTTGTGGAGAGTTCTTTCATTGGTAATCATACCACATCTTCTTATTTCTATATGTACAAAAAGACTGTCCCGATAGGCTAAATAATGATTTTAAAGCCTTACAAGTTATATGGTCGAGTTCAAAGTAAGTTAACGCAGAATCAGGGCTTGTTGGAGCTGCTATGGTTAATAGTCCAACATCTTCAGGATCAGTGTCAATGGTAGCCAGGCTAAACACAACAGTTCCGGCTACGTCATTGTTACTTATGGCAACAGTATCATCCAGGTTAGTGAAAGTTGGTGCTATACCTAAGAAAGTATTAGCATTATGAAATTAAAATAATCCTTGGGTATTTTAGGATAAAATATACAAGTCTAAATTGAAAACAACGTTCAAACCTATGATTGCGTTGGATAAAAACCGCAATTTTTATACGTGTGCATGCAAAACAAATTTCTTGGAAGAGGGGTCTAAATATAGCACAAAAATTATGAACTATATATATATAAAATTACAATACCTTTATTATATGCTCTCCATATTACTACATTACGTAAAAACTGAATTTTGACTGCATTTAACTGTCATGTCATTTCCGAACCAATCATCGGAAAATGGTCACTAGACCGATTTTGATCTTTTTACCGCCTCATTAGAATACGGTAGTTTTTTGGTCATGACGTGCAATGTCGGATATTTTGATTAATTCTATCCTTTGAATTTTTTTTCCGCCATAATCTCTATGTGCAAAGAAAAACAATTTGGTAAACTAATTCTGAATTTCTTTTAAATACAATTTATATCAATTTTAACAGTGTTTATTTTAATTATATTATTATTCAGCTATATTTTAAAAAGGCAGACATACTTATTTCAGGTGGATATATCCTTGTATCGACCTCATACAAAGGCTATAATTGTATATTATTGCACGTTAAGTTTTGGTTGGGGTCTTATTATTCAGCTAACACTTATTTTTTGCTTTCCAAATCTTGAAATTTTGCATACAAGAAAGCTCATTTAGTTTTTAGTGTACTTGCTTTTTGCGAAGATTACAAAGAAAAGCCTGTACAACATCACCGTTCAATTCTAAGACAAATCTAAACAATGTAACTGACAGCGTTAACTTCTGTTCAAGAATTTCATCAGAATTTATACTGTTTTAATGTGGTTTCATAGACCTAATATGGTGAAATAAGTTGTATACTATCAAAAATTATTTGTGTGATATAAAAAAAAAACACTCTACAGTTTGTTAATATTAGCGTTACAAAGGGATGCATAGGGACAATATGCAAATTGATAGTTAACGAATTAAAAAAGTGATGAATTTTTATCTTGAGAAAAACGTATTAAATATACTTGGAGTGACTCTGGCGTGAATGGCATGGTCTCTATTGTTGCTGACACCTACTGAATCCCAGTCAAAAGTTGTGTGATCTGATGTAAAGGTAGCTATTTTGTAATCACCGGTGCCACCACCATCATCGTATGTTATAACAGATCCAGCATATTCATAGCTAGCAAATACAAAATAAAAGAAAAAAGTTTATTTTTTTTATAAATCAACAGGTTTATTAAGCTTATATAATTGTGTTTATACACAAGAATTGGTTCTTTCTTGAAATTCCTAGAAGATAATTAAACAGAAAACGGTTTAAAACAAAAAAAAGCATGGGGTTTAGCGTTGATTCCAAATGTTTCGTAACAATAATTATTGTGATATTTGATCATCCATTTTCTAGATTTAGGTTATTTTGAACTTGACATAATCATAATAATAAGAATCGATATAAGAAGATTATATACACTTCCAGATTTTTTTCCATATATTTGTTTATTTGGTTGAAGTCTCATTGATGTATACATATCCCTTTTTCGACTTTTATTTCTATGTATCTAATAAGTATGGAAGCCTTGATTCACATACCAACTTTCAGATGTACGTTAAAACATTTAAAAGGAAAACATCAAGACAATGTACACAATTAAAATCCTAACAGACGAAGACAAAAATGTCAAACACAACTACATACAAGACGTAATGGACAAAGAAACAAATGCATGTAAAACTCCTTACAAAAGGTAAGGATGTGTCAAAAGCTTTTGTGCATATGAATATTGTGGCACCGTTTTAGAATAAGACCACAGACCTGTCTACGTTTTATTAAACCTAGCGTTTAAATCATAATGGGTCATACTCTCCATAATGACAATAAAAACATTTATTTACATTGATATCACATAAATAATTCTAAAATATATTCTCTGAAGAATGTTATTTTACATGAAGCATTATATAAACCACACATAATTTCATTGTCTTTAACCATTTTCTTGTGAATGTCAATAAAATCAATACACATGATAAAACTGTTTTTCAGAGTGTTAAGTCCCTTTCCTGACTGTTGATTTTTATAGATACATGTTCTATTCTGCACGTTCCCTGTGTTCATTGTGAGGTTAAGACAGGAAGAGTTGAAGATCAATAAAAACGGTATTAGGTTGTTTCTAACTCCAACATATTAGGCCCAGATTTAACCTGATCCAAAGTCGATGCGGCTCAAATACGATACTATCCAAGTCGATCTTGTCCCGAGCCTAACTCAATAATGAAATAATAAGTAATTACAAAAAATGTAGGAAAGTATTAGTAGAAATATGCACATTTTTTACCTCAGACTATGAGAGAGACTAGAACAGTGACAAGTTAAATTACAGTAATATTTAGGATTTGTTACTGATTTACAATGTAGATGTAGGGGCAAAGAAATATTCGAGTCGATAAAAAAAAGGGGATGTGGTTTGATTGCCAATGAGGCAACTTTCCACCAGAGTTCAAATAACAAAGATGTAAGCAACACAAAGTCATCGCATGACCTTCAAAAATGATCAAAATACATAATGTATAGTCAGTTCCTTACAATTCTCTATAAACTATACGTTAAAATTAAATCTTCACTGGGTTTTCTGACCATAAAACAGGTATTTTGTGGGGAGTACGAAAGGCGGGCGGCACCAGCTATTTCTGTGCAATAATTTAATGAAAAGCGTTTAACCAATTTTTATATGTTGTTACTGGTGACGTCATTACGATTTGTAGAACATACATTATTTAACGGTCTATATACGTGCACTGACCACGAACGAGTTAAATGGGAAATATATTTAAATATGCGTCAATGGCACATTTGTTGGTCGTCAACCATTGCTAGTTTTCATAAGAGTTGTTTATAGATATAAGAATATGTGGTATGAGTGCCAATGAGACAACTCTCCATCCAAGTCAAAATTTATAAAAGTAAACCTTTATAGGTCAAAGTACAGTCTTCAACACGGAGCCTTGGCTCACACCGAACAGTGAGCTATAAAGGGTCCCAAAAATTACTAGTGTAAAACCATTCAAACGGGAAAACCAACGGTCTACTCTATATAAAAACAGAGAAACGAGAAACACTTATGAACTACATCAACAAACGACAACTACTGAACATCAGATTCCTGACTTAGGACAGGTGCAAACAAATGCAGCGGGTTTAAACGTTTTAATGGTACCAAACCTTCACCCTTTTTCTGAAACAATAGTGTAACATCACAACATAGAAAGACACACTATAACATATCAACTGAAATAGCTTAACCCAATCAAAGGACATATTAACACCAGTGAACATACACTGAACAAATAAATTTGACCTATGATACAATGTAAATACAAAATAAATAAACTAAGGGAAGAATAATAAAAGTAACATGTTATACCGGTGTAAAATGTTAAACAATTTAAGAAAAACAATATGCTCGAACAAAAATATCAGCCATTTGTAATAAATTTAAACACAGGTAAATGAAAATAATTTTGTTGTTAGGTATACGTGTACAGTTCCAATAGAGAAAGGAAATATTTTTACAAAATAAATAATTTTGATGTTCATAGTAAGAAGTGAAAATTTATAGTAATACCAAACACTTATCAAAGCTGGTATATAGACCAGATAACCCTGAATAACATTAAATAACAAAAAGCATTACAATTAGTATCAACAGTACTTTACTTTAATATAGGCATAATATTTCATTATTTATCGCTTGCACTAAAGAAAAGTCAATTCGGTGACCTATAGTTGTTTATTTCTGTGTCTGTTGTCTCTCGTGGAGAATCGTCCAATTGGCAATCATACCACATCTTCTATTTTATATATATATATATGTTAATTATTTCTAAAAGGGTCAACACTACTGTAAATATAAGTCGGATCGATTTGGGTCGGGATCGACTAGGGTCGCAGCGACTTAGGACCGGAACATCATGAAATCCTCATGAATTTACTTAGCCTCCGATTACTCATGTGCCTATTCCTACCAGCAACGTCTTTAATTGTAGTCGTTCGTCTCTCTTAAAGAGGCATTAGCTGTCAAATGCATGTTCACCAATTTGACTCAAATTCTCATATTTGATTTATAACATACTGAAACGTATAACCAAATTACAAAAAGTCTAAAATAAACAATTAAGAATGCATGAACTTGATAATATAATTCAGCATTTCGTTTGTATTTTTGTCTAGACGTCCGGACGGTCATATAACGCGATAAAAACATAAAAATAAATATAAACAGATAGCAACCTTGAAAATCAAATATCATTTCTAGTTTATGAACAACATAAATCCAACAAAATTCAGCTAAAATAAAAATAACTAAAATACCGAACGCCAAGGAAAATTCAAAACGGAAAGTCCCTTATCTAATGGCAAAATTAAAAGCTTAAACACATCAAACGAATTAAAAACAACTGTCATATTCCTGATTTAGTACAGGCATTTCCTTATGTAGAAAATGATAGACTAAACCTAGTTTAACTTGTATGACAGTCGTATGAAATTCCATTATATTGACAACAATGTGTGAACAAAACAAACAGACATAAAAGTCAAAAATGTCAAAATAGGGGTACAGCAGTCAACATGAGAAACACGACAGGTGCCACATGCGGATCAGGATCTGCTTACCCTTCCGTTACACCTGAGATAACCCACTGTTTTTCGTGTGTCAAATGTTGCTCGGGCTTTAGTTTTCTATGTTGTGTTTGCATACTGTTGTTTGTCGTTTGGTATTTTTCTTTTTTTTGCCTAACAACCGTATACATACGATTGGGACATATCCGTCGTCACCTGTGATATTCCGTATCGGTCAACCAACTCTTGATGGTGTCCGAAAAATCTCGAATGGATGATTTCAACTTCGCCACTTTAAACTCTTGGTTTAATAACTTCCTTGTTAGAAGCAACCCTCAGGAAATCATGATTGGAAACGCTAACAAAACTTGAGTATCAATGATTTCAAACTTGAAACAGCTGGTAGTACAGAATCTCAGAAGACTTGAAAGTCTTCTTCCTCCACAAATATGATCAGTCACTTGAAATTACATGGCCTTAATGTATCTTCCCATGCAAGTTTCCACACATGTAAATTAATGTAAACTTGAAAGGCTTCAACATAATTTCGCAATTTTACTATCGTACTAGTTAAAATCAGGCAAATACCTGACGTTTTTGTCATGTTCAAATAGTATACAGCGGGTGCTTTTCTTAGTAGAGGAACATAAATCATATACAAGATAAAATTCTAATGAGATCAAATCTGTAAAGTTATCATTTGTTTATGTGAAAAAGTGGAATGAAAGAAATGAACATCGAAAAAAATCAAAATCATTTATATCATTTAGGACTTATTTCACGTTTTGCAGGGGAAATAACCAGGCTGGTGGAAAAAGGGAGGAGAGAAAAATAGTGAATTATTAATGCTCACAATGGTCAAACTTGAAAAAAAGTTGATGCGAGAAAACAAAATCAAAGAAAAAAGGCTATATGCCCCTACATGCCCTATGCCACCACCGATTACCACCCTGAATGTGCCTTCTACTTGTCCCAAATAATTAATTATTGGCCTATTCAATCTATAACAGTTAAGAAACTAAAACAGTATAATAGTGTTATTAGATAAGCATCATAACTACATCAGGCCATCTCAGTCCGCAGAAAATTTCAAGAAGCATTAAGAAAAACTTGCAAAAAGGAAAAAATGGGCTTTTAATAAACCCTTAGGAAAGAAAGTCTCTTCAATGCTTACCCAACTATATTTTTTAATTAACCAAATAAAACTTTAATATTAAAAACACAATATACATTATATCACTGTTAGTCCGGATTTCAGTATACATATGAGACTTATAAGGTCTTATTCTTAAATGTTTCTAATTCAAAGTCCTTTACATTTTCCCGTTATCATAACAACATATAACGAAAACATCATCACTGATAAATATGTTTTTATATGACTGTGAAAGGTAACTATACTTCCTTTTTGTAGAAAAAAATAATCCTAGTCCCACTTCTGCTCTAGGTGGCCTGCACATGTGTTTATTTTTGTTTATTTGTGATACGCTCTTTGGGCTCGTAACTAAAGAAACATTCGACCTTAGACACAAGATGTAAGGACATGATGAAAAAGATAAAATTTCTCTTTAACATATTCTCTATGGCATAACAAATCATTTAAGAGCATTTTAAATTCAAGGTTTGTACAGTATGAAGCTCAATGCTTATTGACCTGGCCTCTTAACCCTCAATATCTTAAGCCAAACATAGAATAAACTAAAAGTCCCAATATTATGAAAAAAAGGCAAATAAATCCCTTTATTTCTCAACCATTTGGAAATTTATATTTTATTGCAAAGAAATGACTTGTTTTTCAGTTTGTAATTTACAAACGAGGTAGTAGCGAATTAGAAAAAGAACAAAAGTCTTTTGACACACTTGTTTGCTAATTTAATGATATCATTGCATATCTATATATAACAACAAAATGATGTTTTCAATAACATGATACCTGTTGGAAAATATAATTGCAACTTCAATATTAGGAATTTCAATCAGAGAAGAGAAATTAAAATTTCATTTATCCTTTATCTATGGTATAACATTCTTCGAGTTAACAAAACAATCACAGATTTACAATAAACTGATAAAAAATCGACCTAACCTGTTTTTATTTTGGGATATTTTATACCAGGAAAGCACATCAGGTCTCGTTTTCTCGTTTTACAAATTGGTTGAGTTTTGATTAATTACCGAGCGTGACATATGTTATAATATATACTTACAATGCAATATAATCGCCAAAAAAGGGACGTATTCTAAATCCTGTTGATATTTCTTTCACATTTACCTGTTTGACATCTGTAAAAAAAAAAGATCTTCATACTAATTTCACAATAAAATAATAATAATTCTGATAAAATTGGTCTAAATAAAAACGTTAATCAATTCCTATGCGTTCGTAATGTCAATAGATTTCAGAGATGTTCAAAATAAAAAGATTACGTTAAGAATATGAGTTAGAATATAGTGAGATTTACTGTGCATATTGCTGTGTGTTTGTTTATTCTACATTGACTAGAGGTATAGGGTGGGGAGGGTTAAGATCTCACAAAACATGTTTAACATCACCGCATTTTTTGCGCCTGTCCCTAGTCAGGAGCCTCTGGCCTTTGTTAGTCTTGTATGTTTTTTTCAATCTTGGTTCATTTATATGTTTCGGAGTTTCGTGTGACGTACATTTTCACTGAACAAGTTCACATTTTGTTTGTTTATGAGCCAGCTGAAGCGCGCTACCGGTTGCGGGATTTTCTCGCAGTGTTGAAGACCCATTGGTGGCCTAGGGCTGTTTTCTGCTCTTTGGTCGGGTTGTTGTCTCTTTGACACATTCCCTGTTTTAATTCTAAATTTCAAAGTTCTGTTGACTAAAATAATTTCTTAATTGCGAAGACTGTACGTCCAACATATTGTTATGGATTATCTTATTTTCTACTAACAGATCACAACACACATTTGAAATGTGATGAATTGAAGCACAATTATTAGATATACAGGAGGACATCAAATTCAATTTGAAAGACTAATTTTGAAACAAAACAAAGTATTGATGTACTAGTACTGTTTGATACTGCCGAATAAATCATGTATAATACTAGCGAAGAAATGATACATAATTCCATCTCCCTGTAGAATGCAATGAGTAACGTGCAGTCATTTTAAATATTTTAGGCACATGATAACGATAATACATTCAACAGTCATTCAGTTATGTGGGTTATGTGGGCATATAGCATAAAATTGAAAAAGAGAAAGGTTCTCGACAAGGTCTGAACACAGTTTAATGAATCGATGACTTTAAGCAAACCGATCGGGCATGACTGTGTATAAAACAGTCCAACAGACAAGCTCTTTTGCATAGATTGTCCGACAAGACCTGGAAACCTCAAGCGACCATAATGCTATACTAATGGGATTTATGCGTGTGTATACAGTATGCGGTGGTTGCCCATATGAATAAAAAAAAAACGTCATTAGATTCGTGTATTGTATACAATTTTTATAATAACAATTGTTTGTGTGATCTGAATGAATTGTCTTGACTGACGACTTTATTCACTAAGGCATGTTTAGGTTCTCTAAGCTTAGTTAGCAGTTGAACCAGGTGCAATAAAAAGAGATGGAAGAGAAGTTACAAGTAAATAAGGGGAGAAGGGAGGGACCAAACCTTATATCATGCGTAATTTTACTTGATTTTACATTTTAATTTGAAGACATTTAAACTTGTGCAGCCACTAGAAATACTAATTTGAGCGTAATGTCTTGATATATCATTATACAATTTGATAGATACAAATAGGAAGATATTGAGTCAAATTCAGCAAACAAGCTTAAGTTATTAACAAACATAGCCATCTATTAACCTTGTTGACTATTTGCGATATTGAAAATCAAGTGTCTATCTCAAACGGAGGTTTGCTTGCTTGGCTTTGATTTCTCAGTTGCCATTTGTAACGTTTTGTGTGTGCTATATATTTGTGTTTTCCTTTTTGATTGATTGATTAATTGCTTATTGCTTTACTTCGCATCATTTTGACTTTTGAGGCATCTGGTCTGTCTAATAGGAATTTCATGCGATTTAAATACTATCAATCTCAAACTTGTAAAAATCGAAAGAATGATATAATGTAACAATTCATTGCACAAAACAGTGAAAGAAAAGCTAATTTTCTAATCTCCCTGATCTTGAAGTCACGAAAAGGCACCATTCAGCAAGAACATGTTCATCGTATAAAAGTTCGGAAACGTTACTGATTTTGAAGACCAGTGTATTTTAAATTATTCCTCATTAGAAAAGAGAGGCAAAAGATACCAGAGGGATATTCAAACTCCTAAGTCGAAAATAAACTGACAACGCCATGGATAAAAAAAAAGGACCAACAGACAAACAATAGTACACAAAACATAACATAGAAAACTAAAGACTGAGCAACCAAAAACTGGGGGTGATCTCAGGTGATCTGGAAGGGTAAGCAGATCCTGCTCCACATGTGGCACCCGTTGTGTTGCTCATGTTTTTTTGGTAAGGTTCGTGTGTACTATTGTTTGTCTGTTGGTCTTTTTCTTTTTCTTTTTTAGTCATGGCATTGTCAGTTTGTTTTCGACTTATGAGTTTGAATGTCCCTCAGGTATCTCGCCTGTCTTTAATACAAACCCGGTAATAAGTTTAATTCGGTAGGTCACATTCGGGAAAAGGGGATGTGATTGTAGTTTCGACATTAGAAACATATCTGCTATCATCTGTGAAACGGATATTTCATAACGATCAACCAACACTCGTGATGGCGTCCATAAAACTTACGAAGGGATGATTTCAACTTCACCACTTGGAACTCTTGGTTTAATAGCTTCCTTGTTAGCAGCAACCCTCTATCAAGGAAATCATGATAGGAAATACAAGCCCTGGAATATCGTATCAACTGGGATAATATATACTCCGTATGCAGGCGCTGCTGAAATGTTGCCACACAGAAATGGAAAGTTCACAATTGGGAAGCTGAAACCATCTCTTTTGTCGTAAATATTTGTTTTAAACCGACCCTCATTGTCAATTTCTAGATGTAAGCCAAGATATGAGGCAGGCTTAACTGTATCTGTTTTATTCTTTATCTCAAGTTCGATGGTGTAGATGAGTTCAACATAGTCACCAAATTTTGAATAATTAAGTGAGAGAACATCATCTATATAAGCGTTAAGTAAAGTTAAAGAATACCGCTTACGTCTTTTCTTTCTCCCTAAGAAGTTTCTGTATGAAGTCAGTCTCATATAAATAAAGGAACAAGTTGGCAAGAAGAGGGCACAGTTTGTTCCCATTGGAATGCCGATTGTTTGTTAAAAAACATGTCCTCCAAATGTAACAAATATGTTGTCAATCAAGAAATCAAGCGTCTATAATGTCAGTTTTGGAGAATTGTTTGTTTGAATCAGAGTGATTTTTTACAAAGTAGGATTTATCCCTCCCTAAGACAAGAAACTTGTATCTACGTTGGCCATTCTTTTTTATGAAACAAAGCAGGACCAACTCTTTCAATTTTTCTTTTAGTATGGAATGAGGAATAATTGTGTAAAATGTAGAAAAGCCGAATGCTTGAATACCATTACAAGATGAAAGAGTCTTAGATTGTATGTACTATAAAAGATCTTTGGACTTTTTTAGTATCCACATCTGATTCATGCCACCTCTAGAATAGATAGTTTCACAATAACTTTGAAGCCCGGCTTTGATTGCTGATAAAAATGATGTTCTCAATTTAGAAAGAGGTTTCGTAGAGTACCTGGAAAATCCAGCAATATACCTTTGTTTGTAAGGACACTTATGTAGTTTAGGTATCCAATACAGTGATGGAAGATCCAGTTCTTCATCTTTGGTTGAAATTCTAAAGGAACATAGAACAGACCTATGATTATCCAGGATTTCCTTTTTAGTAAGTGTCGTGGGGGTAAATGTTGAGTTTCCAAGTGAATTGTCAATACCTAATTCATTTATCAAGCAGTTTATGTAATGTGATTTACACACAAAAAAGATGTTGTTTGGGGCTTTATCTGCGGGGACAACAACATATTTGTCATGGAGGTAGGACAAGTGTTTTGCAACATTTGGGCCTGTAAAGATTAAGGTAGCATGGGTATTAATAGACCCGTACAGTTTTTTAATTCTGATTTGTATCAACGACCTAACAGCCAGAATCCATTCGGAAAGAGTATCTACGTCTTCTTTCTCCCATTGCCTGGCATAATCCTCGACTGAATCCATCAGTATTTTAGAAAAAAAAATTCGAATTACATAGTTTGCTTTCTAGTGTTTTGTAGACTGTTGTTTGTCTTTTTGTAATGATTTTGTTGGTTTCTCTTCGACTCATGAAGTTCCCTTTGATATCTTTCGCCCCCTTTTTGCACCATGTAATAGGCACTTAAATGTCATTAAGCGGGAACCATTCTTAATATAATCAATTATTAATGTACAGAATTGCAGGATACCATAGCTATCTTGTTAATACAACATTTAAAACATATTTTTATCAGTGGTACCAGATATCAAGTATTGAAAGTTGAATTAAAAATACGTATAACCTTACTGGTTCCTTCAATAATATTTTCCCCTCGCAAATTCCAATCATTCCCTGCAACATCCTTGTACCAAACTTGTACTTTAACATTTCGTCCTGCCACGGAATCTTTGCTGACAAATATTTCCCATGCTTTTATAAAACCACAGCATTGGAATTGGTATTGGGCTTTTAAATTTAGGACTGCATTCACTATCAAAAAAAATATACAATTATCGAAACTGTTTCATGCCGTTTTGATGATATAAAAATGTTATATGTTTTAAATGAAATAATATAATTATTTCTAAATTTGATAATTACAGCAGCTTTAGTAGAAAATATAATTTATGATATATTAAATATAATAGGTATTTAAATATTTTAAAACACAGGTCACAAGAAAGTCATTTCTGCCGCCGATATGAAAGTAAATTTAAAGTATTGGATAAAAAACGTGTATCGATCTAAATTAAACGAACTAAATCTTATATTATACTGACTTGTTCAAAGGGTCAAACAAAACAGCAGGCTCTCGTGTGTACTGGTTACACATTTGTAATGTGCATTTTTTGTATAAGTGCTTTTTGTAAACGGCACGAAGTCCTTTTGAAAGACTTGCATTGACTTAAACCGATTTGTCAATTTTTATTTCATTGAGAATACATTTTATTTTCATCATGAAATATTGTTCAAACAGTTTTTTTTCTACTCCGTACGAAACTGGTCTTGAGGGAATACCTGACAGAGGTCAATTTGGTTTCCTATTCTCAACCTTGTAACAGAAAATTATCATTGACCATCTATATAATTCTGTAATTTAAAGCCACTTTAGAATTTTTCCATGTTTTTTTCCACTAATAATTGATAATGCAAAATTTGAGAGAAACTGAAATCGCTTGGCCTCGGATTGCGTAAATGACATCAATAAATAATAGAAATGTGATTATGTAAACAATTTTTGATATTACAGTCGTGCGTCCATGACATATCCATAATATCACAAAACAATACAATAATAGGCCTACTGTCGCAGTCCAATATACGACATTTAGTCTATTTGTCTATAAACTTCAACATATGCATCACTACAATGAAATCTTTTTAAACGATGTGCTTTATATATTTAAGTATGATATACAGTCATAACGTATATTTTTGTTGACCAAACTATTTCTGATGATTGTGAAGGATATATCAGAAGATAATTGTAAAACCGTTACCTGTTTCTTTACTATAATCAGATTTATCTTCATCCTTTGTTTTTGGTTCACCTATATTATGTTCACTTGCACACTGGCCTTAAAAGAATAATAATTTCATAGAATTATACAATGGATTTGGCTATTGTTTTAAGTACTTTTTGGTCATATAGCTCTTCAACTGTTTCGGTCCTTATACTTCCTCGGCTTTCAAATATTTGGCTTTGAGCGTTCCTGATGAAGGTAAATCCAGAAAAGCACTTCGGACGCATGAAAATAATAACGTGTTGTTCTCATTTATTTTCAAGAAGATTTGTACGGTAAAGATGAATAACATTTAATTGATAGATAGGATAGAATAAAATCGGTTTTCATTTGAAAGCTTTCTAATCCGTTTTGATGAAAATGTCACGAAAAAGCATTCTCTAATAAATACATTTCTGTGATATCTTTTTAATAATAATCAAGTGTTTTTATTGCTTATTTTAGAATTGGTCAAATCTTAATATGAAATGCATGAAACAAAATAAAGTGCAGAAAGTACCATGACAGTTTGTTTGACATCAGTTTGGGTGTTCAGGAAAATGAGCTAGATGAATGCATTATTATAAATATGACGAAAATAAGAATATACATATAAAAATATGAGATATTAGCAGTATCAACACATTGGAAACGTCCCTATGTTGTTTTTTTTTAGGTCTTTCTGCTTTGAAACCTTACCGTTAATGTCATATTTCAGCTTTAAGCATGCATTAAAAAATCAAGCCAATTGATGAATAATCATTTGTTAGTAGAAACGCAATATTTAGTACTTATTATATGAAGATATTAAATGATTTTGATAAAAACAATTTCTTTGAAAAAAAAAATGGAGGAGACCAAACAAACGCAGCTATCAAAGTCTATAAGTCTTAGAAAACTAGACAACACCACACTGAAATGGCAAACACTACAAAAAACTAAGAAAAACAGGGGAAACTCTGTGCTCTTGAAGGGTCAGTAGTTCATTCTTTACTATCTTATAACCGTTTTATCTAAAGAAATGTAAAAACGGCCATTATTTGTTATTGTTTGCACGCCCAATTTTATCAATATAACGGAACTAACAAAAAATCTGCCATAAAAGTGGGAAGTTTATCTAGCTATAAAACCAGATTTAATCCACCATTTCTTGTCGGCGTATGCCTGTACTAAGTCAAGAATATGACAGTTGTTTCCGTTCGTTCCGTTGGTTGAAATAGTCTTACATTTGATTATATGGACTTCCCCTTTTTTGGATGTACCTTAGAGTTCGATATTTTTGTTTATTCTTTTTGTTTGTTATTAGGCAGAGTTATGATAGTAAATTGTGAGGTATTCCCTTTTTGGAACTTAAAAAGCAAGTATCGTAACCAGGAATTTTCTGCTGAAATGTGATACAGAGTGATTGATGATTGCAATGCTAGTTAGTTGCTATGATATAGAATTTCACCCTTATATATCTGTTATATAAATTCTATTCTTCATCAACTGAATACACAGATGCCTGTTCTACATGTTCTATAAAGAAGAGAAAAAAAGTCGAAAACAAACTGGCAATACTAAGGCAAAAAACGAAAATTGCCGAAAAGACATACAACAGTAAACGAAACATAACATAAAAAACTAAAGACTGAGCAACACGAACCTTACCAAAAACCGGGGTTGATCTCAGGTGCTCCAGCAGGGTAGGCAGATCTTGCTCCACATGTGGCACTCGTCGTGTTTTCTCCAGTAAACCCGGTGATAAGTCTAATTCAGTATGTCATATTCGAGGAAAAGAGGACGTGATAGTAATAACGACAATTGTTAAATATCCTTTATCATCTGTGAAACCGGTATTCCATAATGGTAAACAAACTCGTGGTGGTGTCCGTGAATTTTCGAAGAGATGATTCAACTTCACCATTTAGAACTCTCGGTTAAATAACTCCCATTTAATTAGCAACTCTCTATCAAGGAAATTATCATAGAAAATTCAAGCTCTGTATTATCATATTAACTGAGAGATGTATACTCCATATGCAGGCGCTACTAAGATGGTACTACAGAACAATTGCAAGATCACAGCTGGGAAGCTGAAATCATCTCTTTCGTTGTAAAATTTAACAAAAAAATTAGGGAACATGGACAGCGATCTAAGAATATTATTCTTCACTGATAATAAAACACGGAAAAAAAAACCCACAAACAATTGATTGCGTCTCTACCAAATTTTTCATTAGAAAACATAGGCCTTCGCGAGCTATTTTTTTGTTTACAGAAATGTTTTAAGAAAATAAAGTTAAATATAATGACTCTTCAACATAAAGGGGCTATGTTGTATTGCGCACTACTCCATTCAGCAGTTGAAATCTTTAATCTCTTTCTGCTTTGTCACAAGGTCTTCGTCATTTCATGTCATAGCTTGTTCATTAAGAATATTTACTCGGAAATATAGAAAGAATTAGCAATATTGATGGAAAAGCAGAATACAGAATATCACACAATGTTTTCCTGTTGAAATATAATTTCGATATGAACAACATACATGTATTTACCTCAAAGGAATGAAATAATGAATAGAGATCTTTCCATTTAAATACTTAATGTTACGATAAACTTACTTTTCACAGAATGTAAATTAACAACTAACGCAAAAATAAAGAAAAATCTTAAATTAATCATCATCCATTTTTGTATATCCAATTGCATTTCTAATCGCTCCTTTTAGTAACAATATTTCAAGTGTAAAAGGTAACGTTAATGGATGGATGAAACCACGTGTGTCTGACTGTGGCCTTCCTATTATGGTTTTGATTTTCAATTAACTTCATTTGCATTTCATCAAAAAATTTAAAGTTTTCATACAATATTTGTACATTTTAAAATTGCATTGTGCACATAATGCAGTCTGAAGGAAATAATTTTGGGTGGGTCTAAAATCATATTAATTTGCTAAAGTAAATATAAATAATGTTTAACGCCTCATTTCCCATCTTTATTTAACGGTTCTTTATTTTGCGTTTCAATGCTGTTGTTCAGGTATTTTACGCTTTATGTTTTTCAAAATTTGTGTGACTTTTTAATTATGGACATTTTTTTACAAATACTCATAACTGTAACACGGTTGTATTGCTGATTTTGCGATTCAGTTTATACCTTAAGTATCCCTAAATGAAAATTATCAGCTAGCAGATGAAATGCAACGGACTCCCACCTTACGTATGGTAATCTTTTGTCCCTCAAAACGAAGCTCTAAATATTTTGAACATCCTCTGTCAAAAGTAATTATATATGAATACAATGGTCCCATTTTATAACATTTGCTCACTTGAGTTCATACATATATTTTATTGGGTACATGGTTTGTTTAAAAAACTCCTTTAAATAAGCAATGTTTATAGATTTTTATCGAAAGCAAAACTAAGAGGTAAGATTAATGAAACTGGCTAGAACTTCTGCTAAGCATACTCCAGAGGTTGTTATTGGTTGCTGTCTGTTATATTTGTTTTTTGTTCATTGTTGTTGTAGAATTCGACTGGTTTTTTTTCTTTGAATTGTTTCACACTTTGTCATACCGGGGCCTTTTATAGCTTACTATACGTTTTTTGTTTTGCTCATTGTGGAAGGCCGTATTGTGACCTGTAATTATTCATATTTTGTTTCTTTGGTATATAGATCAAAGATGGCTTATTAGCAATCATATTATAACTCCTCATTTGTTCATAGCGGAAAATTTCTCTTTTGCTCTTCTTCTTGCCGACTTGTTCTTTAATTCATATGAGGCATACTAAACACATGATGTATATGATGTATTTCACTAAATATTTCAAATTCAAATATACAGTTTTTGTGAAAGGCGGGAAGCATAGTTCAATTTAAAACCGAATAATCAGATTCTGACTTCGAATGTTGATTTTGGATAACAAAACAGAGATAACTGATCTATTTTCAGTTTGCGAAGAAGATTCTTCTGGAATATCTTATATCTTATATTACCAATAAAACATAAACATCTTAAGTTTTAGTTACACAAGTAAAACTTTTTTTTGTTGAAAATCAATAAAAACTTAAAAGACAAAAAAGCTAAAGTTTGCATAATGCAATTTGCATATACAATTTCCCTTGGTGTACCTTCTTTATCAATAATACAAGCTTTTAATACATCGTTTGATAGTTTAATAAGGACTGAATTTAGTTTATACATTGGTCTAGTTTCGTATTGCTTCTTTTAATTGAATTCTATAGATATTTTAAATTTTGATAACATAACAATTAATTCAGATTTTATAATTTTTTTCATAATTTTGTATACATAACGCACGTTTGATAAGGAATGACTTTCATTTTTGCATTTGTCTAGTTTTGTATTTCCCTCATTTAACTTTAGTGCATTAAATATCTAATGCACCTCGAGCTCTCAATTGTTATAATTTTTTTTAAATATATTATTATTTAATATATGCAGCACGAACTATCAATATGCTAATCTGAAGACATCAGGATAGAATAGGGAGATGTTTTCATATCAAGATAACGATAGTTCAAGTATATCATCTAGTTATACATTCGTCTGTGAATTACTCGCTTGAACATACATGAGATGAATAGATTGTACTAAGAAAGACTTTTGAACTGTTTTTTACACCCATCTTTTAAGTCTCAGCTAATATATGTAGTTTGTTTACAACTGTACAAGGAACTTCCTTTTTATATTTTATGACTAAGAAATATTGAAAAAATCATAATACTATCACACTGTTACCCAAATGTCTTAAAAAATTGAACACACGTTTAATAATTTCATGCGTCCGAAGCGCTTTTCTGGATTTACCTTCATCAGGAACGCTCAAAGCCAAACATTTGAAATCCGAGGGATGTAAGTAATAGTTGTACACTTAGTGGCGTTGATACAAAACAAAATATCATGTGAAATTAAATGCCCTAACACTTCCCATCATACTTTTCTACCTCACAAAGATAATTTGTAAATATTTGTCATTGCATTTAATAACTATTAGCACGTCTCATTGAAAGTAAATTTTAAGAGTATTTTTATATGGCACTATTCATAACTACTTTCTTAAAATCTCACATATAAAGGTATACGCACTTAACTTTATTCCTAAGACTTTTCATTATGTGATTGAGTATTTGACCACAGCCTTTTAAAGGTTTAAAGTCTCAAATTAACATACTTCTCAGATCAAAAAAAGGATTTTGTTTACATTAGACATAAATTGTGTTTTTGCCTTAAAAAATGTGTTACAAAAAGTTTGATGAAAGAATTAAGTAGACGTTTTAAGTAATTTATGGTTACGAAATCCCCTACTTAATAATCTATCAGTGATGCATTGATTACGTTCGTTAAAATCTATGACATCACTACACACACGGGCATAACGAACGAGTTGGGATATATAAACACCGTGTGATGGAGCCAAAGGAACTTTAGAAGGCTTATTGGAATTTGGAAAACAGTATTGCTATTATTCTTCGTTGCCCTTTTAAGAATATAATAAATAATAAATCAATTTTTATTACACTTGACAATGAGCAAAAAAAATGGTTGGGTTTTAGTCCTTTAGTAATTTTATCATTGTAAGCTTATTCTATTGTGTTAAACATTATATTTAGATATTTCCGGTAATGTTTTGACATTCGATTGACAAAAAGGTAAATAACTGTATTTTGTACAACTGGTATATTCCTGATTACAATATTGACACTGGCGCGGACGTCGGGTATCCTATAAAAACAGGATGCATAGAAGAGATGTACGATTGCCAATATTACAACTATCCATAAAATTTCACAATACAGCTGATTTTAGCTACCATATATCACTGTATAACCTACAGCAATGAGAAAAATCCGTATCGTATAGTCAGATGTGAAAGGCCCCGACGTGATACAATTTACACAAAACATTAAACGGCCTGATTTATAATAAAACAATAAATGAAAATCAAGTATGACAGACCTAAGCGAACGGCAATCACTAAATTACAGTCTCTTGACTGGGAGATAGGCAAATGCAGAATGTTTCAGGGTTAAACATAGTTGCGAGCGAGTAACCATCTCCCTTTCCTGTGATAGTGGTGTAACAGCACAAAATAATAACAAACTTGTAAATATCAGTGAGAAACGATCGGACTCATCAGATTGACACGAAGCAATATACAACTTACATAAGGACAAAAGACGAAATGCACCGACATGAGAGTATCCGCGGTTTTTTTCGCATTTCTTCTCCTCTACTGTGACATCACTAAATGAGACACTTCACCCCATTACTTTTAGTGAGACGATGACTGATACTAGCAGAGAAGGTCTGCGTATCCTTCCGAAGCACCTGAGATTATCCCGTTTCGTGGGGTGTTCGTTTTGCTCAGTCGTTACTTTCTATTAAGTGTTATAATAATTAAACTTATTTGTGTGTTTGTCGTGTTTCGTTTCCTGCAATGGGGTTGTCATTTTTCTCAACTCATATTAGTTTTGAATGTCCTCTTTATATCGTTGACATATTTTTTGAACCTACACATAGATATTCAACATGTTCCAATTTCAACTTGATATCGATATTTATTAAATTATATGATCAATTCAACCTTTAAACAGATAAATCAGCATGTACAATACTGATGACGTTGCCTTGTTGATATTACTACAGCTTTTTTTTCTGCCCGGTCCAATTCAGAAAAAATTACGTATTGCCTATGGGCTATTACAGAACATTGATTTCCGTTTTTTTAACATCTCACGAAATTTAGGACGCATTGAGATACGTTTTAAAAGGGATAAGAATATTTTTTAATAATATTTTGTAATTTAAAATAACATAAAAAATTAATACGAATGGTTCAAAAGTCTGATGTATTCTTCCTAGCAACGTCATAGTTCAAAGTTGCTTGATATAATGACGTGTTTTAGGAAATATTTCATGCTTGTACTTTAACAAAAAATCAGAAATGTCATCATTATTGACAAAATGCATCGTGACTGCGAAAATTAAGTTCAAATATGATGCGTTATGAACTGACTGTTTCTGTATTTGTTATACATTCTTGATCAGCTGTATTGGCCTTCAAATCTTCGTGTCTTGGGCCAAATAATGCTAACCTCGAATCTGTAACAGGGACAACACAGAGACAGCCAACTATAGTAACACCAATCTGAAGCAGCAGAATACATAGTATACATTTCTCAGTTGAAACAATAGTTGAAAGCTTGAGATTTCCATAAATTTTTTCAAGATAAAGACTTGCAGTTTTTTGTCAATGTTAACGTTATATCATCAAGAGCTTTATTTATGCATTAGGACTTCATGGACTTATTAGAAATATCTAGGTAACATATGTCTTAGACTTTGTTTAATATGATGTACCAACAGTCGGAATCTCCTTTCTTTGATCATAGGTCTGTTTTACTTCGCATTAGTTCACGGTTTGTACCACTGGTATGGGCTAGCCCTTTCTTTAATGGGATCTTGATACTTGATTAGATACGTATGTCGAGGAATCAATTCTCAAAAATCAATGATTCATTATATATAAACGTTTAACACAATCGCTATAGATTTCTACATATTTTTAATATATTATTTTTTCTATATACTAGAATGCAAAAAGAACTAAAATTATGTTGATGTGAAAACATCAAGTATATTCATTAGTGTTATGTTTAATCTGAACACTACTCGCGCCAATCGATATGTAACGATTAATGCACACAGATGAAAAGTATTGTGACGTACTATATAGAATCAGTTTCTTAAGATTAGTTTTTCAGCCACTTCTACCTCACGATAACAAATTTAAAAATATTTCTATTGAATTATGTAAATGTGGACACTACGTGTTGACATCTTGTTAAAAGAGCATTTATTTGGCACTGTTTTTAACGGTTTTCTTACAAGCAGACAAACAACAGTTTAAGGGATTTGCTTTATATTTAAGACAATTCATTTACTGTTAAAGTATTGAAAAGTCAGCAATTTTAAGATCAATGAAGTCTCAAATCAATATTATTGCATCTACACGTGTGTAAATCACAGACGAAAATGATGTTTTATGCATACGTTAAAGAGGCATACAGGGATCCAACCAAAGAAAACAAATGTTTTTTCTTTAAAAAAGGAACTTGTACTGAAGGAAAAACGTATGTATTCTATATATCACAGGCGTATAAACAATGCACACTTGAAATATTTATTTTTAATTTTGGCCCACATGTTTATATGTTTAGTATTCCCTTTTTGGTCGTCATAACGTTTGTGTTTATTTCATTCACTTTTTATATACGATCTGTTTGTTTTGTCTCATTAACCAAATATCAAATGGCGCATAATGTGTAATTCGTAATACGGGTTACTCGAACGGGCCGCTAAGTTCTAATAAAGTAAATAACTAATTTTAGATTTTTAAACGATTTATAGAAGTTCATTTGTGTGATTTGTTGAAAAATTCAAGCAATATAAATTCTTTGGTACTCAATAGTATAATCAGTGTATAAATATTTAATCATTCATTTTGGATTTGCATTACAGATAATTTATTCAAATTAATTTCAGAGTGATTTGAATGAATTATTTATATGCAGATGTGTCTGTGAAAATTTTGAATTGATTTAACACTAATAAATACGTAAGCGGAAACCAGGAAGATATTAAATTGTAGATGAAATATAAAAGATCTTTGTGCAATTTAAAGATAAGTATGTTTTGAGAGGAATGGATCATAACGCTCAAATAGATGTCTGGTGGTTATAACCCCGGAGTTGAATAATCCGACAGCGATGGGATTGCCAAAAAATGCGCCTGCATCTGAATAAGAAACGGAATCCTCGTTTCTGATGAGGCTTGAGTTATAGATTATATGTTCTGAAGTTGTGTTTCTTTTTATTTATTTTAAATTTTCCTTTTAAATTGTCTTCGTGGCATTATGTTTTGGTCGTATGACTTTTGACGTGACTCGGTATTTATGCATACTGCTATCGGTTTTTTTTTTACTTCGGGTATTCCTGGTGCAGGTGGGTCCTGAGGCGTGATTCGGACGCAAGCACTTTTTACAGTTCTGTTTCCATTTTGTTTACTATTATATTAATATTATACTACATTTGTACTTTACCGAGAACGTGTAGACTATTTATGGTATTTACTACCAAGAAATTTTTTTTTTTATCGGCGTCTGTCAATTTACTAACAATTGCAAAATAAAAAACAAAGTTGTGTTGGGGTCTTTGTCAAATTTACTTTCAACTTCAACAATTTTTCGTTGGCGTCTTTGTTATATTGATTTGTTTGTTTGTTTGAATTGTTAAGTACGTTCTTTTGTATGTCTGTGCTGTAAATTTACACAGTGTTGGCAGCGTATTGTTATATTGATCTTTTATATCTGTTTTAGTTGCTTATCAAAATTTGTCAAAATAACGGAACTATAAACAACTATTATACAAGTGGGAGGTTAAACTAGCTATAACACCAGGTTTAACCACTATTTTCTTTGGAAATGCCTGTACCAAATCAGGAATATGACAGTTGTTTTCCAGTCGTTGGTTGATAACATTTGACGTTGTCAGTTTTTTTTTTCTGAATTTCCCTTTTTTGGATTTGTCTTTGAATTCGGTATTTTTGTTATACTCTTTTTCTGTACCAGCGAATATACATGCCACAGTTGCCACACAATTTTGTGGGTTCAATCTGTAACGATATAAGTAACAAAAATTTAGACATTTTGCATTTTTGTAAATTACCTAACCTTGACAGACATTATATAAAATATAAGTCATTTTATAAAACGAATGATTTTTTTTAACAAAATTCAACAAATTGTTATTTCAGTTTCAGGTTATTTGTAAAAAAAATATATACCATATAGATACAAGATCAAATAGAGGCAAAACAAAATAATTTTGACAAATAAAACTAATGGTTAAGTGAAATTAATTTTATTCTTCAAATACAAGCAGGAAATGTTTGTATATCTTCAACTAGTAGTCACAGAAAAACTACGGAAGTATTAACTTTAGAGGGTCATTCTATGGTCATCTTTTCATGATAATAGAAGGGCAAATAGTTCTTACAACAGAACAAATATTTATATAAGAAAAAAAAACAAGCACAAGATTCCGATCACAGCAGAGCAAACAGTTCTTACAACACAACAAATATTTACAAAAACAAAACTCTAAATTCAAAACAAAAGTGTGTAACATAAAGAAAGAGCACCATGCATATTTGAACTGATAAATTGTTGTTTGTTTCTCGTCATGAATCAATCAGAAATCCAATAGCTAAGTTCTGCAATTTTTTGGAAGATAAGTCAATTTATAAAATGTCTAAATCTCACGGGTATTCTTAGAAAATGCCTAAAATGTTCAAGCAGTTTACAAAATACCTGTAATAGATATAAATTAAAGGTCCCTATTGTATTTGCGAAATTCCTTATTTTCCTCCAATTGAATAGATGTGATCAATGGCAAAAGTTATTTAGCAATTTTAATTGATGTAAGCATTTCATACATACAGAAATGCGATGTACCTCTTATTTCACACTATATTATTTTATTTATATTATGCTTGCTTATATTCGAAAACATGATGCAAGACGCTTTTCGACTTCTCAAGACTTACCAGAGGCGCTCGAATAAAAACTGTTCTGAGATCAAATCAATTAAGGAGTTAAAGAACGTTAAAAACCAAATATTCTAAAATCTAAGACCATCTCTTCCTAGTGGTAGAAAAACCTTCGTAGTTAAAATAAGTGAAAAAATAAATGAAGACAAAGAATTCGTATAAATGAAGACAAAAAAGTTCGTTTCCAGATATTTTGTCAATATAAATAACAATGAATAACATGAATATTAAACAATTAACCAAGGATTTCAGAATTTGTTAAATCTATAAATTTTACTGTATTGTTTCTTCTAATATTATGTTCCAGTAAACATTGAATTCATTGCCGCTCATACCATTTCAATGGTTTCCAACTTGGATTAGAATTATCATTTGGTTGTCTCCCATTTTTCTGATTTACTGAAATATTCAATTAAATCAAAATTACATTAAGGACAGCTGATTTTGAAAAAAAAATCATTGTCGTGTCAGCAGCATTGTTTTATGATCATAGACACATACTTGTTCTATGTAACGGAGAGCTTTTCCAGATAAAGTGTCGAACCGAATGCGGCATTCTTGACATATATGTTGACAAGTTTGCAAAATACCGCGTTGAATGCACGGTATTATTTCGTTTTATTTGTTTCTATTCCTCATTCTATATTTTTTTGCCTTTCCTTGTTTAGATGCTGCACAGTTCATTATTCTAGTCATTCAGATTTCTAATTATTTTAGAATGCACATTTAAATATGCATCATACTTTTTCATCAGAAATCTAAAGAGATAGGTACTGCGAGATACAGTCTTTGTATTTGAATAGTTTGTTTGTTATATTTTCGTTTACAATTTATAAGAATGATAATAAGTATTCTTTTCGATCTACCGGTTTGAGGTAGACATTTACTTATTCGCAGAATGTGATTTTAATGTATTCGTTTGCAATTAAAACGGTTTGCTTCTGAAATATAACACCCTTAACTTGATATAATGCTTACAGGTTGGCAATAGTATTGAATGTTTTTAATGATAATTCGACAATATTCTCCCAATCTTTGAAATATATCAAGTTTCTACATACTTTCAGATAGTTCTTGAAGTCTTTCATGGTAGTCACCTGGTCTGAAAAATAGATTTATTTAGTACTGAAAAAAATGAGAGTTTTGAACTGTTATCTTCGGAGCCTTGAAACACAAGTAAACGTTTTACCGTCTTTCGTCGTCATCACTAGTAAATAGAATTGATCTTAAATGTCATTTTGATGTCAACACACCTTTAGAGACTAAACAATAAGTTATTAGTAATTTTCAGCCTTCTTGTCAATTTTCAGACTTATCCACTGTGATGAATTATATAATGTTCAGAAAATTGGTTTGCAGTGAATTAAGATCTGGTCAGTTGATGCTCAGGCGGTCCAATAGCTGATATTTACTCGTACACATCAAACATCGTGATTCTGCATACTAGTCTGAAATACTACTGAAAAGGTCTTAATTGACCGTAAGCGTATTGTCTGAACAGTACTGAATTTACCGTAATGGATAAGTCTGAAAAATGACCGAAAGACTGAACATGCATAAATAATTTTTTGTCAGACTTTTCAGATGATGTTAAAAAAACCGTTTCATACTAAAATGTATATACTAGTGCATCTTAAACTTAAATTTCAAGCAATAATTTTCCTTTATTTTACCAAATGGAATGTTCACAACCACCCTTTTTTAAATCAATTTAGAATTAGGATAACAGTATAAACATTAAGTGATTGAAAAAAAAAAATTTTCATATTTAAACTTTTCCATTCCTATCTCATGTGTGTGTCACTATTTTGTTCACAGTAACAAATATACATAATGCATGTTTTTTTTAAACGAATGTTTATATGAACAAAACAATTATTTTTTTTAACTATTATAACTTGAAATACATACTACTGTTGCTTTTGTGACTTAAAATCGGAAAAATAAATTACTGTTTCATTTTAAATCATAAATTTATTTATTTGGTGAATGCCTATTGTGCTTTTGATACAAAATTTGTCTCCAATTGGAAAAAAATCTTTGTTCAAGGTTTTAAGATAAATGTTCTTACCAAATCAACATTTTCACATTGGTTTACGGTAAGCATAAAAAAACATTTGTGTCAAATTCTGACAAAGTCCACCATATTATAGTTCAATATTCAATACTGCACTTTGAACACCTTATTCATTTAATATCTCAAAGGGTCTTTTTATAGTCTCTGTAACCGAACGATGTTAGTTTTTATTGACCCAACCGTAAGTCAATAAACATTATAAGCACAACTCATCCTATCTAGCTTGACAGATTTTTAAACAAACATAGTGCACATATAAAGACGTACATATAGGTTTTTTTTTAGGACAAACCAAATTTAATAGAGTTAAATCTTTGCCTAGGGATAGAAAAACCTTAGTTTTTCGAGTAATTCAACATCTCATACGAAGTATATTAACGGAAATAAAGACATCATGTGTTTATTTCCGATGCATAGATCACATGAGTGAATCAATATTAATTCCATAAATGTCATTTTTAATGATCTGACAACAGTATCGTAACTATGTACCTTCTGAATAAATCTGTTCAAAGGTTTGGTAAGCTTTTGAGGTGAATGACGACATTTTTGTGCTTTGTATAGAACATTACCACTAAAGATTGGATGTGAAATACCTGAACGTATAAGATGTCTGCACGTTGATTTATATTTACGAATACAGTCCTTGTACCGATGATAAAATTTAGTAAATGTTTTGAATAGGTTGTGATATCGAAAACACTGGTGTAATAATTTTTCAGTAATACAGAGATTTCTTTCGTTAAAATCAAATACATTGTTACATACACCAGCGAATCGAACAAGATGAGAGATATATATAAACACCATAAGACAAGGGAACGTCTTCATCTAAAAATGGATAAATAACAATAGGAAATTAAAAATCACTCTTTCAAGATCTGCGAAAGAGCAGTGTTCATTGTTAATATTAGTTTTATTTAAAGTCAGTTCAGCAGAATAAATCTCTTTAGTGTACATACTGAAGTCGTCATTATCGAGAGACAATATATCATCCAAATATCTAAAAGTGTTATCAAATGTTTGCATCAGATGTTGTTTCGATGGGTCTTGGCTGATTTTAGTGATAGATTGTTACTCGTAATAATACAGAAACAGGTCCGCAATAAGTGGTGCACAGTTAGTTCCCATTAGAATTTCGATAAGTTGACGATATACTGAATCTCCATAGCGAACAAAAATGTTAACTAGTAAAAACTCAAGTGCAATTATCGTATGAAAGCAAGTCCAACTGACATAGTTCTTTTGTTCTTTTGTTTGTTGTTACTAAAAATTACCCAAAAGAGTTTGACCATATATATTCGCATTCTGACTTTTTGAATGTCCATTCGATTAGGTATGTGAATTTTTGCTTAATGAGATTATATGGCAAAGTGGTATATAGGAAAGAAAAATCACAGCTATGAACAAATTTGAAATTAGTGTACTAGTAAGTAGAATTGACAGTTAAGTAGTGGAATAATGACTTGAAGACGAAATAAATTTATATTTGTAAGGTGTTTTGTGCAGACACTCATTCCAATTAGTAATTGACGGGGGACGATGTTTAGGTCCTTTACTAAGGAACGATTTCATTTCTCGGTCATGGACGATGTTAAGGTCTCCTGTAAAAAACCTTTGTTTTAGGTCAGACAATGTTTCCCTTTTGCCAACACAGTGTTGATTTGTAAGGCTATACATAGTCAATTTTTGGTGGACGAAACCTTTTCTTTACAATGACATAATGTTTTAAGGGAATAATAAACGTATTTCAGTGGTGAATGAGGGATGCAACTTTGGTTTTCCAATATGTTCTTTTTACTGTTACTATGAAAAATTATTCCTATTTTTCTGTTCGTTTTGATTTGCAACTTTCATAGTTAACATTAAAAGAAATAAAGATTGTTTTAGTTATAAGTTCGGCCAATATCGTAATAAATACCAAAATGGTAAGTTTATTAATAAAAAGTAAAATTCTAATGATGTGATGTGGTAAAATTGATGTTTCTTTTATTTTATCGTTCATTGAATAAAGCACTTTTATTTCAAATTCAACAAAGATTCAAAATGCAGCAACAGCTATTGTACCCATTTTTGTAATGTTAAAGTTTTGCTAGTTGGAAGGAAGACATATTAAGTTAGTACATTTCTAGTTACAGATTATTGACGTGTAGCAGTTACATTACCTCTCAACCTATATTGTAATTATTCCCCAAATTTCAGTTATAATCAGACTTTCCAAATGATTAAAAGCTTGTTTAAAGACGACAATTGCTATATTTTCTACAAAAAATATAGATTAAGCTGGAGCCCCTCCCTTGAGCTTAAATAAATCATAAATACAGTTATCATTTATTTGTCGTTGATTCATTATGAAAAGTAAAAAAACAAAAATACCGAACTCCAAGGAAATTCAGAACGGAAAGTCCCTTTTCAAATAGCAAAAATCAAATGATCAAACACATGAAACGAATATAAAACAATTGTCATATTTATGACTTGGTACAGGCATTTTCTCATGTAGGAAATGGTTGATTAAACCTGGTTTTATAGCTAGATAAACCTTTCACTTGTAGGACTATAGGTTGCATTTCTGTAAATATAGACAATGCAATTTCCCATAGGAACTCCCTTTACAGCTAAGAATGTGCCACTTTTACTTTGAATTTTCGTAAAAAATTATATCCTAGAATGGAAAGCTGATATGCACTACTATTTTATTCAAAGGTCAAAACATGATTGCATATGGTTTATAAACTTCAAAGTATAACAAATTTCTAGATAATAACGGTGTTTTAAACTGGTTGTCTAGAATAATAGTTGTATTACCTTCCTCTCCAGGTACAAGAAAATTCGTTTTTGTAACACATGTAGCAAGGCAACACCATAAGTATCAGTCCAAGAATACCTGCAACAATAACCCACGCTGGGTTGGCAGGGTATTCCCAAAATGTGATAGGTCGATCTGTTGTGGTTGTGGTCGTTGTTGTAGTTTGCGGTATGACGATAAAAACTATTGCTGTCCCTTGAAGACTTCCAGTATCTGTTGCCTGAACGGTAAAGCTTATACTTGAACCATAACCGTAACTTGTTAAAGAATTCTTTAAGTATAAATCACCATTTGCTTGAATTCCAAATGTTTCTGTTCCTAAAGCTGTTTGGTCAATGCTGTAAATGAAAATTCCTGGAAAATACATCAGTAAAGATTAAAGACACCAGAATAGAGAGGCGGAAGATACAAAACTATTACATCAGAAGCGAACTTATATTGTCATTGCCAAAAAAAAATGACCAAAAGACAAACAACAGTCTACAATAGACATTATTGAAAACCAAAGACTGAGCGACAAATACTCAAACAAAACCAGAGTGGTCTCAAATGCTCCAAAAGGGTAAGCAGGTTCTGATCCATAAGTGACACCTGTCTTGTTGCTCATGGTAGTAATACACAGGCGATAAGTCGAATCCGGTAGGTCACATTCAAAAAAGAGAGGGTGGATAACGAGATAAACAAAATCCCAATAAAACTAAATAGAACAATAAGAATCATGTAGAAATCCTGCAAGAACTCGGATGCATTTGAGTAAATTTATCTTTTCGTTCACCACTGGAGGCACCTGTAATTTTGCTCATTACAAGTAAACATACGGTCATAGATAATATTTTTAGTATGACTTTGTGGATACAACAAGAGGAAATTGTTTATAATAAAACAGGTATGACTTAACAGGTCAACCGAATTATTATGGCGTCCATACGGATGTATTTATTTAGTCGAGGGGATGAATTCAACCTTACCACAAGGAACCTTTTGTTCAAAGCTTCTAGGCAAGCAGTAACCGCCTATGTTTAAATCATTCAAGTACATGAAAGCTCTAGCATATTGTTTCAATTGATAGTTATATAATATATCTACAAGCATTTGTGGAAAATGGAATATAGTAATATAGCATCTGGCAGATGATCACAACACGTTAAAGAATATTAATCACAGCTTTTTTTTTAATATGTATCAATTAATTGCTTTAACATCTCTTAATTCTATTGTAAAACTACAACAACTGCCAAAATGGTGTTATGTATATAAATATGAGACAGAGTTTTACCGAAAACATTTGGATAAAAGATGTTTTGTACTAAGATGCATGATAATTTTAAATACGATGAAATATAGTTTAAATACAACTGTCATTCTTACACTGCAGTTTCTAATCTCATTCTTTTCTTTTATCGGTGAATTTTAAAAATACGAAAGCTAAACAAAAGAACTGACCAAATGAACCAGTATCGGCATCAGTTGCAACCGTCGAACCAAAGGCAGTGTTAGGAGGATAGTTAATATCTAGGTAGTAAGTAAACAGATTATTCGAAAACCTTGGAGTATTGTCATTGATATTATTAACGGTTATGGTTAAAGATGCACTGTCGGTAAATGCACCATCTGACACAACCACTGTACAAATAAAGGATGCAGCAGAACCGACAGCATCAACATCAATATCAGTAGCCAGGCTGATGAATCCTGTTGATGGAGCTATCGCAAAATATCCAACATTTGATGCACAGGTCATGGAAAACTTATGAATGTCACCGTTATCCTCATCTTGGTAGAGGTAACTAGGGTCAGCTAAAGTAGTACCAGCCTTAAATGTAAATCATGTTTAAAAGAATATCAGTTGTGCTTAATAAAAATGGTTTCAGACATTACTATTTGCTTTTTGTACTTTTGCGTTTTTAAAATTGATTTGATATATGCACTCTCCCTTAAGCTTATAGTGATCTATATGGTAGGAAATCAAACCGTAGCTCCTGGATAATGTTATTATCTTGAATAGAGAATTGCATCATCAAATATATTTTATATATGAAATAGAAAACAATATAAAAGCAATGAAACCATTATTAATTAATCCCCTGTCAAATTATGTCTTGGAATCAAAGTGAACTAATTATAATTTCATTAATTTAATTTGCAACGGGAAAATTCCATTACTTTACAGATGTACGTAGCTATAACTAAGAAAATATCCCGATATTTTGCGTTATGTTATTTAAATTCTTTGTCATAGTAAATGAAAATTCCCAATTAAATAAATCAAGTCCAAATAGACGCCAGCAATGTTGATGCTACAATCTTATATTTATTTATGAATTTGCGAATTGTTTATATAATTTATAGACAAAATAAATTCACCAAATTGTCAGTACCTTTTTAAGTTCTCCACAATAATCGCAAAATGCAATAGCCCTTCTATGAAATAATAAGTCATTTTGTTTACAAATAAAACCCAGTAATTTCAGTTTCATTCGTAGGATATTTAAGATTATGTTTTTCTTTATCTAATGGAAGAAAACATCTAAATTTAATTTATGAAACGAAGAACCGGCATTCATGCAAATTAATCATCTGTCAATTAAAGACCGAAGTACCAAGACGTGAACATGTGTCTAGTTCTTAGTTCATTTAATCTATGAAAACGCATTTATCATGTATAATATTTTCCACGTCTATGCATCTCTTAACTGACCATATTTCAATTCGAATACATACCACACCTTCGTCAACACTTAATGCGTATGCTTTCTTTGTAAACACTGGAGCCTCGTTTTGATTGGCTATACTTATAGAGAGATTCTGAGATGCCGAATCTTTTGTGTCAGTAACCGTTATCGTAAAAGTAAAGGAAGTTGATGATACGCCCTCGAAATTGATATTTGTTGATGCAGATGTACTGAAAAGGCCATCTATAATTGAAAAATGAAAATGTGTTTCGCAAAATGTTTACAAAGAATAGATATTGAATGAATTCATATTTGTCCTGCAAGTATACAACTTTGTTTTACCTCATGCTGTAGAAATAGTTTAACCATGTGCTTTTCGATTTTCGGTTTTATTTGCCTTAATGTCTGGTAAAAGTTTATGCTTTTTATGATACATTCATTATCAAAATATAACTGTGTACTATCATTTTGAATGTTCACATTATTTGCTGGTTTATATGATTTCTATCATATTACGAGTTCTTGTTTTTGTTTATTGGATATATAAGAGACAAATATATGATTTGTTAAACTCCTTTTTAGGTTGAGTAGTCTGTTTCTGTACAGTTACAGGATGCGACATTTTGACTTTTAATGTTAAGTAACATATTCACGAAAACGATTGTACAGGTCGCACTAGGACCCTATTTTTTTTATAAGACATGTAGACAAAATCCTAAGCACATATATTCTTCTCCCTAGCGACATGTTTGTGTTGTCTTAGATCTTAAGATACCTGTAAAGTCGTTTGATAAGTAAATTAACCGATTGTGTTCCCTTCGCGATTGTGACATGTAAATTCAAACAACAAAAGACCCTCACTCTATCGACCTATCCTATCTCGTTCTTTTGGCATTGATGCGATTCTCTCTGTTTATGTTTGTTACCTTGATTTGTCACTACCTAACACTAGTAGCCAGATTTAAGTCTGAAACGGTCATTTTGGTCTGATCAAGTCTTAATCGCCTTAATTTACTGCTAGGGAAAAACGTTAAGACCTGTTTAGACTTTCAGTCTCTGTTCCGATTTATCGTGTTCAGTCAGATCAGTCGTGTCAGAATAAACAAGACAGATTCTTCTAGCATTCAAATAAGACTTGATTAGATCACGTTTAGATCAAATAAGACCAAAGGTAAAAAATCTGTTTAGTTGTTGTAAGATCGTGTTCAGTCGTGTTAAGATTTTAAACATTTTAAATAAAACGGGCGACACTTTATCTGTTTTAATCAGGGGTTACTCCCCCTTTATGAATAAAATCTCTATAGCTCGGAGGACATTCTGTTGTGGTCTTTTAATGTGACTGTATATCTATTTTAACAAATAAAGTATGCAAACTTTAAAAACAATTCATTTTTTTTCGATAGAATCTTTAACATTAATTTCGTTATATAAGAAAAGAATAATTGTTGTAACCGGAAAATGTGTTAGTCAAAAAAACTTTGCAGTCGTGCTTTCTGACATAAAGTAGTCCTGTATTTATTCATATTCTAAAGATATAATGATCAGTAATATATCTCAAAGATGTTCTTAAATTTTCTTAATTTTGTTTTGTTTCTAATGTAAAATAATAGTTCGTATCCATATTTGGTCAGGAAATGTATATTTTAAGTATATAATTTACTTAATATTTTAAAATGTTATACAGATGACAGATGCTTGGTGAAAGTTATTTACATTTCAATAAACTGATTATCTAAACAGTCAACCGAAACGGATTGTCATAAATGATCTAAATAATTACATACTTAAACAATTTCTTTTCCATTGAAATCATCCTGATTTTCAAATAATATTGTTCGCTGAATACTGAAAGGTCATAACCAAGCATGTGTTCTGTGGAATGCAATCCGTAAAAGAAGAAAAAACGGTTTTAAAACGGTTTTAAATCATGTACATTGAAAATCACGAATCGAGTGTCGTATTCGACCTCTAATCCTTTATAAAAGAGTCGAAATTGACTATCAATATATTTTTTTTTCACCTACGTAACTCTATATGCGATTTTTTGCCACATTGCTTACAAAAATTATCATATATCTTAAAACTCTTTCAATAACATTTCGTTATTCAATTTTCTACTCGTCTACCAAAAAAATTAAAAAATTTTTTTTTTCAATTTTGCCACTTTGTTTTAAGTTTATGATCTCTCAGGTAAATATCAGAAATGAGTCCAGAGTTTTGACGGTTGTGAATTAAGGATCAGTTACTTTATGGAAACACACTTGTATTTCATCCTTTAAAGTTAGTCTGTCTGTTTAATAATTTACAGTTTAAGGAGGGTTCTTCGTCTTTTGCAAATAGATAAAGAATAAAATGAAAATTTGGTTTCGATTGCTTTCGACAGAGAGAAATATGTTTTGTTTTATTTCAGAAGATTGTTTAGAACAGATATAAAACTATTCTTAAGTCAGGAATCTGATGTTCAGTAGTTGTCGTTTGTTGATGTGGTTCATAAGTGTTTCTCGTTTCTCGTTTTTTATATAGATTAGACCGTTGGTTTTCCCGTTTGAATGGTTTTACACTAGTAATTTTTGGGGCCCTTTATAGCTTACTGTTTGGTGTGAGCCAAGGCTCCGTGTTGAAGACCGTACTGTGACCTATAATGGTTTACTTTTATAAATTTTGACTTGGATGGAGAGTTGTCTCATTGGCACTCATACCACATCTTCTTATATCTAATTAATCTTTTACAATTTAAAAATTTAATTTGGTAGTGTTTTTTTAAGCACATGGCATTTGAAACTTGTATGATCTAACTTTTTCAGAGGTCTGTGAAATCTTGAAAATAGGATGTTCCGGAAAACACAAGTCGCTATATAAAATGCTTGTAAAATTCAGAAACTTGCAGTACGCTCATATTTAAATACTTTTCTGTTAAAAAAGGAAGTGCAAAAACAATTGATGAAATTCGACTGAAAAATGGAAATGAATAGTTACTATCTAACTTTTTTTTTCAAATATCAAATTCACAAATAAATCTCTAACTTATCCACGCTTGCAATATTATTTTTTTTACTGACAGGTGTCTGACGGAATTTGATTGGACATCAGTTTAATGTAGGCGTAACAATCTATCACATTTATCCAATCAGCTGTCTTGTGTGCTGATGGTCACATGTACATGAGGGTATTCCATCCACAAAATACAATATACAAGGTTGTCGCTTAAATGTGGAATGCGGATTAAAAAGTTAGATGTCAAACTTGAATTAACAAACTAAGGCGAATTTAACACGGATATGTATTTTCTCTTCGACAGTATTTTTATTCTCTGTTCTTTATTTTCATTTAAACTAAGCTAAATACGTTTTGTGTCAAATTTAATAAAAATAAACATTTTATGTATTTGAAGGCATTTTGTAAATAAACAAGTATAAGATCAGGCAAATATATCACGTATTCCTTTCGAATGATTTTAATATAGGAACTTTTTTCAATTGAAATTGTGTTTACAGTGTTTGTATTTCGATAAAATAGTTAAATATATGGTATAATCATAACAATTCTTTATTTAATTTAGAATAGACATGTAACACTTTCTCGGATTAACTTTTCATCGTGTTCATGATTGCAAAACCGGGAGACCGTTTTTGGTGCATGTCTAAAAGATTAATTCCGAAAAAAATAATTTACAATAGTACTTTGTTAACCTTCTAGGATTATTAAAGAATGAACATTTTTTTTACCATGGGGTTTTTTTTTTTTGTTCCGTTACTGAGTATATTTTTGTCGTTTACGAATTCATAGGACAGATTTGACTCCAATAGGATATATTTTGTCTCATAGAAAAAACAGTAGTTTTTATCCGATAGATTTGTTTTTTCAAGTTTAACGGATATAAAAGTTATTTTGAAAAGTACAAATAATTCATTAAAGTTTCGTAAGCATCTATCAATATCCAGCAATTTTTGTCTAGTAATACGTACATCATATGATATGCAATTTAATCACCAATAAATGAGATAGAATACAGTTATATCTCGGTCTCTAAAAACACCACAAAGGACCTTTAAAAATTAAAAACCAATTTCCTACCTTTAGATTAACTGCCATATCGTTCCCTTTGTGTCTTAGAAACGTTTTCGTTAAAGCAATTTAAGAATCGTCAAGTAAGAAAATTTTTAGAGTAGGGACGACACTCTGCACACGGCACGCAGATTTGTCTTATATTATCGATCGGTCGCGGTGGTATTGTGACCGACCGTGCAAGGGCTGTATAGCCAGTCAAGGTCGTTAAAAACTTCCATTTGTTGGTATTGTGTCATTTATATTAAACTACTCGTGGTGTGGACATCACCGTTAATGACACCTGGACAAGCGAAATTTATTAAATCAATTAAAAAAAACAAGTGATATACAGAAGGGCTGATCATGCAATATACATATACTTTGTACAAACATAATAAACAAATTTGCCAGTTATTTCTTGGCAATTAACATATTTATATCCAAACTGACTGTTTATTACCAAGGGCTAATTTCGACATCGATAATCAGTGAATTCTGAATTTATTCAGTCGGTTTTAAGTTTTAAATCGGGACAAAGTTTTGTAAAATACTAAATTTTAAATATTGCATTATTTCGTCATGTGTCAGTAAACAAAACAGAGATAACACTAGAGAGAAGGCAATTAAGCAATCCAATACAAAAATAATGCACGATTCAATTATGAAAAAACTATATTTTTTCATGATGGTTATTCATAAGACTAAATTTTCATTTTGTTTTCAAAATAATAAAAATACAGAAGAGTTTATATGCCTAAAATAACATAATTACTCGCGGATTTGACAAATATTTTGGATATTTTACTTACCGGAAATCATATTTTAGCGACTTATTACGAAGCAACGGCTGGAGACTTAAGAAGATTTAGAAAGTTCGAATAGTGTTCTTTGATTGACATAAATTTGAATGATTTTCACGTGCTGACATTTGTAAAATTTACAAAAATCTGTGCCTCGTGATTTCGCAGAGATCGAATAAACATTCCCGCCATTACAGTACATTTCTTTATTGATAGAATTTACTTTTTAAGATAAAAAGCATGAAGAAAATATTTCATATAAAGTGATCTTCTATCATTGATTAATTTTTTTATTTAAAAACTTTCTATATTTTCTGCGAGTGCAAGAGAGTATATTTGATATTAAAAACATGAACAAATCGATCTTTTCCAGATTCAAAATTGTCGAGGGACGCT